GGTATTACAAGGAGGGAACTTCATAATCTGTATGACACCCTTGTTGCTTGGTACCAGAGATTTGTAGACGTTTTCCAGTTGGGCGCTTGATGTCGCGCCAACAGTCACTGACGTACATCGGCGTTTGGATCAGCTCTTTGTGTGCTATTTCCAGGATTACAGGAAGAATATTGTCTCTGTTGATAGCTGTTCTACACTCATGTTCTTCCAGGGCTTCAATGATTTCATCAATGTCGGCATCTGCGAAATTCTGGACAGCATTTGTAAATACGTCCTTGTCAACCGATGAAATAAATCCGTAAAAGCTTTCCAGAAGCTTGTCCTGAGGTATGGGTAGCTGAGGGAAGAGGCAGTGGTGAAGGAAGACGTGAGACATCTTCACTGGCCAGTATCCTTGATGCTTCCAACCGTAAACAAGAATGCGACCAACAGCATTCCATTCTTCCTGCCCGTAGTCATGTCGCAGGAACGGAACCTTGACATCACGGCCAACTGTACACTGACTGTAGAACAGTTCCCAGAACTCCGTGAGAGTATCTTTAAAGACACCGCCTGTATCCTGAGCCTTTTCTATATCACCATTAGGAAGGATGCGTACGATGTTTATGATCTTGTTCATAATGGAAGCGTCCTTGAAATAGCTGCACAACTCCGATAGCACGAGTGACCCACGGTGAATTGTCATTTCAACCGATTGAACATCCTTCGTTTCCGTGGGAACACCTCCTCCTGCTAGGGTGAAGTTGAAGTCAAAGTCACCAACATTTATATCTGGCAAGTCGAAGTCATCATCAGGGAATCCCCCAACAGAGGCAGCAGCTTCACCCAGTATGTCAGTAGCATCAATAGTGTACAGTCCCGACTGCTTCCCGTGATATATTTCTGTAGTGTTTGATGCATCCAGTTTGGCAGTGGTACCCTGACCTGCACTTCGAGCACTTGTACTCCGACCCTGACCTACACTGTGACCACTTGGAATCTGATCCTGACCTGCACTTTGACCACTTGAACTCTGACCCTGACCTGCACTTTGACCACTTGAACTCTGACCCTGACCTTTATCAGATGTGTGGAGATAGAAAGTTACAAGTCCTGTTTTGAAAACTTCATAGCACTCGTTAACAGTTGAAGTAGGCGGCAGTGGGGTTTCTTTGAAATCAAGGATATCAAATTCAAATTCCTCTTCCTTTCCTTTCGTGGATAGACCCTCGGGAAAGAAGAGTCCTTTCCCTATGTGAAGCAGCTGGAATTTGGAAGCATTTCTATCAACATCAACTTTCCTACATCCCCCACCAAGACGCTTTCTCACTTGCCGGCCTTTATGGATCCAACCGAACTCAACTTTTCTTGTCATTTTTCTCGCATGTGCATTTGGAGATGATGTGGAAGGTGACGACTTAGTCTTGTCCATGGCGTTCATTTTTGCTTTTAAAATCCCAAATAGACGTGATCTTTTTGTTTCAGTTGTATTTAAGGATTTTGTTTTTGCACAAAAGTTCTTCAAAGCAATACGATCGCCTAATGTAGGAATAAATCGGGCTAAGGTTTGGTCATCGCTCCCAAGCACAGTCTCGGCATCAATCTGCAATGGGAGAAATAAACTGTACTTAAAATAGATCCTTAAAAAGTAATCAACCTCAATATTTAGAATGGCACAATCTTAATATCCATTTGGCCAAAAATAACCGAGGACGTATTTTCAATACGAGCACATGTACACATATCACTTTGTCTTGCAAACATTGTATTTGCGCCAGTTTCTTTATTTCGTGATCTGTGACGCCATGAAACAATTCATCTTGACGTCACTGAAGCGGCTCGTCGCTTGGGAGCCGGGCAGTTTGCTAGGTTTACATGATTCATATTGAATAGAACAGGTAAAAAATATTATTACCTGGTTAAGCGTGTCTTATGACTTATACGAAACTCATGCAGATATATGTATAACCCTTGCTCTCGCTCGGGAAATAACAAAACTTCACACTCGTTTCGTATACGTCATGTGACAAACTATGTGATCGGACTATAGTCTCTATATATTACTACCGCAACAATTCTGAAATTAGGATGACTTCGTTGTGAGAAAAGAGTGAGTGAGTGAGTTTAGTTTTACGCCGCACTCAGCAATATTCCAGCTATATGGCGGCGGTCTGTAAATAATCGAGTCTGGACCAGACAATCCAGTGATCAACAACATGAACATCTTTCTGCGCAACTGGGAACCGATGACATGTGTCAACCAAGCCAGCGAGCCTGACCACCCGATTCCGTTAGTAGCCTCTTACGACAATCATGGGTTACTGCAGGTTCATTCTAACCCGGACCTTCACGGATCAGTGAGAAAAGAGGTGACATATGACGTCACGTTACACCATCAAAATAATTCAATCTTCCATTGGATAATCAGGTGATCTAATGATTGGCGTCTTGTGTACAACATGATATAAAACGCTAAACACTGTAATTTCAATAAACAATGAATCAAGATATAAAGGTGCAACGCTCGTTCCCATCATTGATATTTTAGCATTCCCAATCTCCATTGATTCAAAAAATGTATCTACATCTACAGACTCTCACAAAAAAGCACAATACATACACATCCTCACCTTTTCCTCTTGTATCCTCTCAAGTGCACGATCTGGCAAACTTCGGGATCGCAGGAACTCCAATACGTCATCAACACTCATCCTTATGCTAAAATCTGAAATAAAACTTGTTACTTGAAGTACTAAGTCCTAATTAGGAGATAGTATCACCTAATTAGGAGATAGCTAAGTCCTAATTAGGAGATAGTATCACCTAATTAGGAGATAGTTAAGTCCTAATTAGGAGATAGTATCACCTAATTAGGAGATAACTAAGTCCTAATTAGGAGATAGTATCACCTAATTAGGAGATAGCTAAGTCCTAATTAGGAGATAGTATCTCCTAATTAGGAGATACTAAGTCCTAATTAGGAGATAGTATCACCTAATTAGGAGATAGCTAAGTCCTAATTAGGAGAAAGTATCTCCTAATTAGGAGATAGTAAGTCCTAATTAGGAGATACTATCTCCTAATTAGGAGATAAAAAAATTCAGACTGTGGCACTAGGACGCTTCCGTAGGTCAGTCAGTCTAGATTGGAATTAAAATCTCCATACAATCGTTTTAATTGCCTAAAATGTATGAAAATGTGTTGTCAACAAGCAACGAGGTATGGAACACGTGTGTTACTATTTTTGGGAGGGATATCCCCTTCGCGTCACAGGTCACGTGATTCAAAATGGCCCCGCTCATATGTGAGCGATCGACTGAGATGTTTGATGGCTTGTAAAGATATATTTTTGGATATTTTGATAACGAAAATAGGGCGCACGTGTAGGTATAAGTACAAAGAAGTAATTCATATAAGTTTTTCGTGCGCAAAAATCGTAACGAGTGCGCGAAAGTGCGACAAAGGATTTCCACCACTGCGGCCTATGGAGGTGCTGCATAGCGTTTATGTCAGTGAACGCTATGTATCTTAGCTAGGTAACCTGCAGCTGCTGATGTCGATGGAAGACTCTGTGGTTCTGGGGACCTCAGAAATGCACTGTGGTGAAAACATTTCTGTTACAATGTGTTCCAAGTCAAATGTTACTTTGCCTGGACAAATTGTTATTTGCATGATAAGCGTACGTTTTGGAAGGACTGATAGATATTTTACAGAAAAAGTAAAAACATATAATATAATGAAAAAGAGCCCTGATACACTCTTAAGCTGTGGAAATCTAAACTTGCCGCATTTTCTAGACTTGCGTGGGCTTACTTGGATATATTTGCTTCAGGGTATGTATGATAGACTAGAAGGACTGACTATTGTGGTGTTTGTGAAGCCTGCGCATAGCGCCCCGGCACATCACGTGACGTCATAAGTAAGCCGGAGAATAGGCAGTTGCAAGGCACTGGAACCGGTTATCGCCATGTAGGCTATATAACTCTATTTATATATGTGACGTACGTGTAGATCCATGGTCTATGTATAACCTACATGGCGATAACGGGTTCCTGTGTTGCAAGGGCATCGTTATGTTATTGGATTTCTGCTTATTCCATGAAAACTATTTCTGTCCGGACAAGTGATCTTATCATTGTCACTGACCTTGTGAAAGTGGATTCCAAAATTCCAGAACTTCGTGGACCCTGGAGTACAGAGCAGGGCCCTTATTCTCGAAACATTCGTAGCCCTAAGAATTCTTAACTTGATCGTAGCCAATGTGTTAAGAATGGGCTTAAGAAGTACGTAGGGCTACGAACGTTTCGAGAATAGCTAGCCAGGTCAACCTCTAACTGTCCTCGTCGGACGAATCGACAGGTGGATCAGTGTCACACACCACCTCTGTCTTGTTCACACGTGTGGTGGGGTAGTCTAATGGTTCAGACGTTCGCTCGTCACACCGAAGGCCCGGGTTCGATTCCCCACATGGGTACAATGTGTGAAGCCCATTTCTGGTGTCCCCCGCCGTGATGTTCCTGGAATATTGCTAAAAGCGGCGTAAAAACCAAACTCAGTCAGTCCATATAATAAAATATAAATTACTAGTCCATTGTTCCAATTAACAATAACACATATTTCTCTACAAAATTTCCATTATGAACTATAGTTTCGTCTTTCATCCTGGTTCAGTGTGAGTGAGTTTAGTTTTACGCCGCTTTAAAAAAAAATAAATATTCCAGCAATATCACGGTGGAGGACACCGGGAAATGAGCTTTACAAATTGTACTGGGGAATCGAATCCGGGTTTTCAGCGTGACGAGCGAACGCTTTAACTACTAGGCAACCACACCGCCACTCGCATTAGACAATGGGAAAGATAATCCGTGAGAGCTGAGACGCCAAGGCTCTTGTTCGAGTGGGCTTTCGTTCGTTGTATAGTCATATACTTCAGTCAATATTTTCGGCATTATTTTTCTTACAGTTGCAATCGCTACGGCTTATCTACAAACATTCAAGATAATGCCACTCTAGTGAAAATCCTCGACAACCTTGTATGTAGGTCACTTGATCTAGCTAGTATATCTTGGACCATAGACCTACTTCAAGCAAACAGCTGACCCTCTATTCAGCGACAGGCCCACACAGCAGACAATACGATCTGAATGTTTCAACACACGTCCGGGAAGTATTCTGAGCTATGAGTTTGGCACACCTGATCCTCTGAACCAGATTCCACCACCATGGACACCTGTAGCACCATTGACAGCACAGAGACGTTGCCTCTCTTGAAACCGGAACGACCACAGCTTCTACCGTTATGGAAACGTCTGTTATATCTAACGTGGGTGTTCTTCGAATGCCTGGTGTTTTGTGGTGTCATGTATGGCTGGGCTTCCCTGGTGTATGTTCTGAAATATGAGGAGGTCTATGCTGATTTGTGTGAGACCGATCCCGACAAGACTTCAGGACACGGAGAAGTCAATGATTCCTGGATTTTCCAAGATGGCGGCGGTCAGGACACAGATGTCGTCTGCCACGCTCAGGACGAACATTTTGACCTTGTGTTCACTATCGCCTCCAGTGCTAGTGCGCTCTCGTCACTCTTCACAGGAAATATCAACTTTAAATATGGAACTCGTGTGACCAGGATATTGTCCATGTAAGCCTATATTTCTATATTTACATTTAGGTCACCTTCTCATCGTATTCTCCCATCCAAAATATGTTTTCATATTCAGCTTGTCTTGGTGTGTATTGTTCATGTGACTGCTTCCTATACTAACGCTATTTCTGTCTCCTCCCTAAGTATTTACCATGGTCTGAGGATTATTCATATGGACCCTGCGAGTATAGTACGTATATGTTCATATTGCTTTGTCTACATCGTTTGAGTACATGGTGTATCCTAAAGGTGTTTATATTTATATATAAGCTTGAATACATAATCTGAAAACAAGGGGACGCTTTACCGTAAAACTTAAGTCGAAAAAACGAGAAACTAGGTTTTTACTAACTGAATTTCTTTGGATGACTTAAGTTCCAGAGTGCCTGGTACGTGTAAAAGATGAATACTGGACACTGAAATCAGGTTACAGTTTGTCTTTAGCAATGCTTATCGAAAAGAGACGACTAACGGGATCGGGGGGTTAAGTTTCTTGATGCTTGTCATCGAATGATGCTATCCCAAATCGTTGATCGATGTCAGTCAAACGATTGTCATACAGTACCTATTGTGGCGTCACACAAGAAACAAACTAATACCATTGTACATCAATTTGATTATGATCAACTTAGGATTAGACTCGTTGCGAAAAACCCCGATGAATGGTCATTTCTTTATCGCGTCTGTCAAGCATCAGAATCTTGCATCATTATCAATATGAAAAGAAACATTTTTGCGTTTCTGTCTACATGAATGTGACTGCGGTCATAGTAGCAGCGAAATCAGTGCTCACTATTTTGTCAGCATGATATGATAAATAAGTGCTTATTCAAAAATGAGAGCACGCCTTTTCTGACAACTTAAAAGCGTCATGTCAAATATATATATAAGCAATGTATAATGATCACATAAACGCAGTATGTGCTCAGTTTCATGCTCTGAACGTAATAACAGCAGGTGCCCATAGAAAATATCCATGAACTGGGAAAAATTGTCTCCTTCGCAGACTTTCCATCTTGATTTTTGTTTTGGTAGATTTAGAATCTGTGGCGTTTGTACTGGTGTGTCCTTGACGAGCAAAGCAGGCTCAAAAGCCTTAACCAACTTACAGGCACTCCTTTTTACGATAAAAGAAGATAAAGAGATAAGTGAGTTTGACCTGTAGCACCAGATCTCGTAGCATGTAGTATAGCTCTAAAACTGCAGAAAACCACCGCGTGTCCCCATTATACACTGATGAAGAATGAAAGACTATTCTCACGTGTCGTGATAGAACAGAAATATTTTCTGACTTGCCGTGATTTAACTAAAATACTATTTTCACATGTCGTGAAAGAACAGAAATATTTTCTGACTTGCCGTGATTTAACTAAAATACTGTTCTCACATGCCGTGATAGAACAGAAATATTTTCTGACTTTCTGTGATATAGCTAAAATACTATTCTCACATGTGATAGAACAAAAATATTTTCTGATTTGCCTTGATATAACTGAAATACTATTTTCACGTGTCGTGAAAGAACAGAAATATTTTCTGACTTGCCGTGATTTAACTAAAATACTGTTCTCACATGCCGTGATAGAACAGAAATATTTTCTGACTTGCCGTGATATAACTGAAATACCATTTAAACATTTGAATGGCGTCACTTATGATGTCTTTCCCTTATTGGGACCGTCAATATTTTAATTGAAAAATAATTGTCGGATTTCGAAACTACGTTACGTTCGAATTCGTACCTTTCATAATGTGAAAGTCAAAACGAGGGTATTCAGTTACCACTGTACACATCATGTACAATATGGTACTTCACCACGACAAATTACAGCAGAGCAGATTGTACAGAAAGATCTCAACGATAATGCTGTAACTCCTATATTTTAGCCTTGATCTTAGTCCATCATACGACCCTGAAACAAATGTATCCTGGAAAGCCCATGCAAGTCTAGAATATGTGGCAAGTCTAGATTTCCACTGTAAAAAAGGCTTTGGGCTCCTTTTCATTATATTATATTTTATGATTATGATTTAGGAACTTTTCTTTCTGTCAAATATGTTCATTTCAGAGACAAGATGTTAATGTACCTAGACTTACAAACACGTAGCTCCAACGTGGGATAGGGCTGAAAGTATGAAGAATCCTGAGCGAGTATATCTTCTTATAATGTAAGGGTGATCAGGAAGGTACATTGAAAGTAGCACAACAACATAATTATCTCTTGATATATGTTTATTTGTTTATTTTTAAAAATACGGTACTAGAATTGCAAAATGACAAAATGCACGCCATCTTTACCGAAAAGCTACACCCGCTGATTATACAAGACTGAAGCCTCCCTAAGGTCGCGATCTGCAAGGGGATTCTGCTGAAAGTGTTTGCGTAAAAGTTTACCATGAAACCAGAGCTAACCTCTTATCTGAATCCCAAATCGTATAAATGTTGTGGTACAGACATGTCATAGATCAAGGTCATTCAGCGTATCACGCTGTCATATCTGGCGTACAAATTTACTATTTATGTAGTTTCTACAACCTTCCCCATTATTACTAATATGGAGTATACACATGCATGCAGATGTTCCTGACAGTAGTCCTCCGGAAAGATAGCGTATGAACTAACGGGGTTTATCTGAACAACAGACAGTTATCTCTGAAGTGAGACCCACGCCGTGTACTCATATATTACAGGGGCGGTGGGGTAGCCTAAAGGTAATGAGGTCGCTCGTGACGCCGAAAACCCGGGTTCGATCCCCACATGGGAATATTGCTAAAGGGCGTAAAACTCCGCTCCACCCCACCTCACCTCACCTCACCTCACCTCACCTCACTCACTCACTCACTCACTCACTCACTCACTCACTCACTCACTCACTCACTCACCTCACTCACTCACCCTCACTCACTCACTCACTCACTCACTCACTCACTCACTCACTCACTCACTCACTCACTCACTCACTCACTCACTCACTCACTCACTCACTCACTCACTCACTCACTCACTCACTCACTCACTCACTCACTCACTCACTCTGGGTGAATACATAGCCAGTCATACCGAGGACTCATCAAATCATATGTTAGTTCATGACCAAAACGTTTCCCATTGCTGAATGTTGCATAAAACATTGTCACCTACTGCTGAATATTGCGCAAAAAGCCTCTCATATTAGCATATTGTGTAAATCTGTCACTCTTTGCGGATTGCTGCTTTAAAAATACCCTCATTTTAGAATATTGAGTAAAGCCCCAATTTCAGCCCTTTTCAGAATTTGGTGAAAAACGTTTTAACTCATTGCTGAATGATACCAAAGACATTTGTCACTTATTCCTGTAGGTTGCGTCAAAACCGTTTTTCATTCTTGAATGTTGTTCACTCAATGCCAAATGATGCGTGAAACAGGATGATGCGTTTGCTGAATGTTGCTCCTTACATGTGGCGCTAATCTCGCTGTCTCTCAGACTGACTGACTGAGTTTGGTTTTACGCCGCTTTTAGCAATATTCCAGCAACATCACGGCGGGGGACACCAGAAATGGGCTTCACACATTGTACCCATGTGGGGATTCGAACCCGGGTCTTCGGCGTGACGAGCCAACGCTTTAACCACTAGGCTACCCCACCGCCCCTCTCTCAGTTATGAATTGTGCGACAATTCCTGAACGTTGTGTAATACTTGTCAGTCTATGCCGAACGTTATGTAAAACATTGTCACTCTTTGGCGAATATTGTGAAAGACATTGTCACTCATTGCTGAACCTTTCGTAAAACACTGTACACTCGGGGCGGTGGGTAGCATTGTGGTTAAAGCGTTCGCTCGTCACGCCGAAGACCCGGGTTCGATCCCACATTGCTACAATGTGTGTAGCCCATTTCTGGTGTCGGTTTGCGTCGCTTAGGCGTGCCAGGATCTGCTGATTTGATGTGCGTATCCCGGATTCGTTGTGATTATTATCTTTGGTTTGTACGCGCCTACTCGTAGATCTCCCGATGTGTTTACCTTCGTACTTCTACGTCACTTTCCACCTTCATGTCACATTAAAATGATACACCTTGCTATAACTGGAACACTGTGAACAATGAGCTACGGACACAACCTTGAGTAACAACGTGTGTGAGACAAGGGTAGGTCAACGCGGTTATAAATTACATCCAGATTATCACATATTTGACGTTTCAGGCAAACAGGTCTTTCGGCGATGGCTAGGCAAATATTGAAGTAGCGATCTCGCCTGACAATCACGACAGAGACCACGGTATCTGTTGACCGTGTACTGTACAAAGCATACACGCAGTGAAGTTGTTTGAAGCCAGAGGATCATTTTTCATCGTATGTTAGTTACTCAGTATTGCGTTTAGAAAATACCCTCAAAGTATAGTCTTGGGGAAAATAGAACAATAACTTGAGTCCCAATTGTCTGGTACAGACTCTATTATTTACAGAACACCGCCATTTAGCTGGATTATTGCCGAGTGCGGCGTTAAAACAATCAAACTCAAAGAATGTGATGAATGTGGGAAAACATTTACACAATTGGGTAACCTACAGGCACACATGATGATTCACAGTGGAATCAAGCCATATCAATGCATTGTTTGTGGAAATTTTTTTTACACAATTACTCACTCACTCACTAGTTGTCGTGTACAGACATGGTTATCGTGGATGTTTAGTCGCCCCGAAAAGACATGATCTTTAGACGTATTGTAGACATGTATCTGTATGTTAGAGGTGTTGGTGTACAGTTACGTGGTCTATATACAGACATGTATGTTTATGTAACGATTCATCCACCTTCTGTTTCAGAGCTCTGTTTTTGGCTGGATCCCTCTTGCTGGCATTCGAGAGCAAAGGTAGGCAACTGTTCCGTCAGTTTATCTAATGTGCTGTAACAGCCGATACACTGTTACCTGGCTATTTGCTGTCTAGAGTTGCGTTCACATGATCGCGAGTTCGAATCCCGGCTTGCCCCGATTGTGTGTTTTTTTAGTTTGTTAGCTTCGTATTCATGTTCGTGCGTTTCGCCAATGTGGTACTTGTTCAAGACCCATACCTTCCTACCTCCCTCATCAAGGTGAAAGAAATGGAATATTGTTCAGAATGGCGTTAAACCTAATTCACTCACTCACTCACTTCTGTCAACTGTTTTATAACATGATATACCCTGTGTAACTAGATTTGCTTATAAACTATGTCACACCTACTTTCTATCACTACTATCACTTAATTAAATAGCTTACACAGTATATATGCTAAAATAATAGAAACGCAGCACCCCATTATCATTGATCATGGAATATGCAAAACGAATTTTGAACCCAAACTGTGTAATCATGAAGTAATCTGACTATGACAGATAAACGTGATGCACCCCGAAAAGCACGTGCATCCCTGTGTGATCACGTGACCCACCATTTGCCGAAAATCATCTTTTCACCTAGAAGTCGCATACAAAATGAAAATAGAAACGTGACGGTTTCACAAGACATTGACAGGTCATTCAACTGTGTGCCCAAATCACACCTATCTTTTGAACAGCACTAAACTGCCACGTTTATCAGCTGTTGAGAGAGAAAGAGCTGTTTGATTCCTTGAGACTGGTTGTCTACAGGTCAATTGTCCAGAAGGTTTAATTGTCACAGTTACAAAATCCTGAAGCTAATGACAGAGCCTACGACAAACTGGCACAACACCTTGTCGACCACGGCCAGGGCAAGCACGTGTCACGACCCCGGCACAAGATCATTACATTTCTTAACTCTTGTCATTTAAGGAACGTTTATCATTACATTTCTTAACTCTTGTCATTTAAGGAACGTTTATCATTACATTTCTTAACTCTTGTCATTTAAGGAACGTTTATCGTTACATTTCTTAACTCTGTCATTTAAGGAACGTTTATCATTACATTTCTTAACTCTTTCATTTAAGGAACGTTTATCATTACATTTCTTAACTCTGTCATTTAAGGAAAGTTTATCGTTACATTTCTTAACTCTGTCATTTAAGGAACGTTTATCATTACATTTCTTAACTCTTGTCATTTAAAGAACGTTTATCGTTACATTTCTTAACTCTGTCATTTAAGGAACGTTTATCGTTACATTTCTTAACTCTGTCATTTAAGGAACGTTTATCGTTACATTTCTTAACTCTGTCATTTAAGGAACGTTTATCATTACATTTCTTAACTCTGTCATTTAAGGAACGTTTATCATTACATTTCTTAACTCTGTCATTTAAGGAACAGGTTTAAGCCAGCGTACAGAACAGCCACTACCATTCGTGATGAATGACTACTTTTTCTTTTTCTTGTGTTTCCATCTTGATAGACAGTTTCAATGTCAGTATGGACAAGTTCTTTTCTTCATTTGTCAGGGAGATAAAACGTTTTATCTAGTGGATAAGTTTCTAGTGGATTTCAGTATATGTCACTCGCAAAGTGTTTTATTTGGGTGACGGGGTAGCCTAGTGTTTCAAGCATTCACAGGTCACGACAAAGGAGTGGGTTCGATGTCCCAGATCGGTACACTGTTTGAAGCCCATGTCTATCCTGCCTTCGCCTGGATTACCGGATATGGCTCGGCGTATAATTTAATTCACTCACAGGCTACAGGGTGTAATTCAATAACTGAGTTATATTTGCCCATGCAGTACATGCTACAACAGCTCACAAACAACTATACGGCTGATTTTACACTTTCCGTGCTTTTTTGGTCAGAGTACCCTGGGCCTAGATTTTCGAATTGTTCGTAGCCCTAAGAATTCTTACCTTTGATCGTAGCCAATGTGTTAAGAATGGGCTTAAGAAGTTCGTAGGGTTACGAACGTTTCGAAAATCTAGGCCCAGGTGCCTAATCGTTGATCTTTGTTGAAGGTAAACTATTTTGTAAAATACCTTTTAAGACGTCCAGTGTATATTTTCTTCCCAACACAGTTTCTCTGTGTGTGTTAAAGAGAACAAAAAATGACGAGTTATAATTAAAAGTATTTTCCGGATTGACTTCTTCACTGTCTCACAATTAAGTGAGCGCATTGTTTCAACTGTTTTTCAGAATTGCCGTGGCTGGTCTTCCCAGGGCTAACGCTGCTTGGTATAGGAGGCATACCTCTGTTGGTGACCAGTACACAGGTGAGAGAGTCATCACTGCATGGCAAACCGAAACATGAGTCTCATTAACCTATTCAGACAATGACCTACTTTTCAGCTGATCCGAATTTTACTCGTGTGAAAGTGAAAGGAGACACTCCAAACAACTATGGTTACACTGAATTCCAATTCCTTGTTTCATAAGAAAATGGTATTTACAATGAATTTTTCATTTTAAACGTTAATAACATCGTATTTCTATTTTATATGGCGAGGTGTAGGCAGCATGACCTTAACTAAGACGTTAAAGACGTCCCCAGTTTGATGAACTCGTAAAATGATTCACAATGCATCTGGCTCACTGGTTGCACCGGTGTCCTCCCATTTGTGAGAACTCCCAGTTGTGAGACACATTAATTAATGGTTCAGTGCACATAGGTGGTGTTTCCACATCCCTACAATGAAAGTGGGATCAGCCCAGCCCAGTACCCACAGGAGGCATAGTTCATTGAATATTGTATTTATTCAGAAGAATATGTAATTATGATGACACATTTTTATTGACTATTATGAAGTTTGAAAGTCATTTTGGTTTAAACATATCTTATTAATATTTATGAAAATGAATTGGGATTGGTGAAGTATTACTGCTTATGTTAACACCGCTCCCATGCAACATAAAATATAAAATGAAATGGAGGATGTGATGTCATCGATATTGACTATTGCATGAAAATATTTTTAAGAACATATAAATATATACAGATTACATCAAATACAACTATTCTCTAAGTAGTCATAATTAGAGACTTACAGTTGTGTGTGTCTAACAAGCTATTGTAGGAATATAAATCAATCACGAGAAGGTTGAGTTAATCTCAGTATTTCCCTGTGAAAATTTGAAGGTTGTGTCTTGATGATATAATCGTGGACGGATTCAACTATTTTCTGGTTTACACAAGGAGTAAATTCTTTGTTTCCGTTAAAAAAATTATCCAGGTTATAACGGGTAGTTGATATCCACAAGAGCAACATGCGTTGTCTATTAAATGTCTGTTATACTTATCGGCGTTTGGGTCGCTAGATCCGAGCCTGAGGCAGCAATGAACGTTTTGACAAAAACAAGAGCCATAATTAAGATCAATATAAATCTTGTTTTCGTTTTTTTGTAATTAGGTTTTAAAATTCTTTGGGACTGCATGACTCTTTGGATTTTGGTAGGGCATTCCATAAATTTATTTTGTCGGGTAGAAAGGGTTTGGCATAAGGGGCATTTCGACTGTAAATTTCAGAGTTATTTCTTAAACTATAGCTTGTAGTTTCGGGGACGGAGTAAATCTGAGTAGGTAAATTAATTTCTCTTTGATCACGAAGTTACCTACACAAAGTGTTTAATTATTAAAGACATTTACCTGAGTATGTTAATCAATTTATCTTATAAAATTTCATTAAGTTACCTCCACAAGATTCAGTTACATAGCAAATCAGTAATGAGCTAGGGTGAATCCATTCTATCAGACAGGGGAGTATGGTGTGTTTTCGTTGTTAATTACCTACTCCACTGTCTCATAACTGGGAGTCTCACAACTGGGAGTTCTCACAAATGGGAGTAGACCGTTACACCTGTTACGTATTTTATGCGCTAATTCAGTTCAGTGTAGTTCACGCACAATGTGATTGATATAATATTAAGTCCGTACCAGACCGCCAAACTTTTCTAGCGGCAGAGCCTCGTTTTGAGATTTCCACGATTTCCAGGTTTCTGTTTGTCAGAGCTCGCTGCACGACAGAGCACGCTGCACGACATGTTTGCAAGGATGATAAGGAGCGTAGTGTTGTAATATACAAGTGCTTAGATGTATCAAATAATACTGATTGATATTTATGCATCCAGTTAAATGAATTGGTCTCAAAATTCTGTACTGGTTATTGTACCAAGTTGCGCAATAAGACGGGACCCAGTCAACAGGAAACGAGACTTGTGTAATCAATGTTTTGACTTGGGTATGTAACTCTTGGTGTACAAGTAACGTACAGCGTGGGGCATTGCAGGTAACGTCAGTTACTGGTTTGCTTGGAGAAGAAGATAAAATATCAAAATGAGGAAAAGGGGGGACACTTCGTCTATCCGCGTAGTTTTTGTCAGTACAATTATGGATAGAAGCGTCTACTTTGGGTGGATGTAGGGTTCGATTCCCGACATGGGTACAATGTATGAATTCGAAGCCTATTTTTGGTGTATCCCCCATGATATTGCTGGAATATTGCGTCGTAAAACCATACTCACTCACCCTATGCATCATGTTAATATGTGTTCTGTTAGTGTTTCGTTGTCCTCGTTAGGATGAGGGGCGGTGGGGAAGCCTAGTGGTTAAAGCGTTGGCTCGTCACGCCGAAGACCAGGGTTCGATTCCCCACATGGGCGCAATGTGTTAAGCCCATTTCTGGTGTCCCCCCGCCGTGATATTGCTGGAATATTGCTAAAAGCGGCGTAAAACTAAACTCAGTCAGTCAGTCGTTAGGATGCTGTCGCAACTCTGTTTTCCGTGTCAGATTTCCAACCTGTTTCCGAAGCATACTTCTGCGGTTATTGGTCTTCTCAACGGAGCCTTTGATGCCTCGGCCGGCGTCCTGCTGGTTATCAAGGTATGTTTGTTTGTTTGTTGTTTGTTTGTTCTTTAACGCCGCACTCAGCAATATTCCAGCTTTATGGCAGCGGTCTGTAAATAATCGAGACTGAACCAGACAATCCAGTGATCAACAGCATGAGCATCGATCTGCGCAAATGGGATACGATGACATGTGTCAGCGAACCTGACCACCCGATCCCGTTAGTCACCTCTTACAACAAGCATGGGTTGCTGGAGATCAATTCTAACCCGGACCTTCACGAGTCTTATCAAGGTACAGATTCCATTTGAATTCTTACTCACTCACTCCACGGTGACATATTGTACTTGCCATTGGCGTGACAGTTGTTGTCGTGGATTCGAGTTTTCTTTAATGATCGGGTGGTGGGGTAGCCTAGTGGTTAACTTAACTCACTCACTTCAATGATCCTTGGTGTTGAAGCATCATACGGGTACTGCGTTGTCATAACAACGTTCTACCTACCTGCATACTTGGTATAAAAGTTAAAGACGATCAAGTACTGTGTTCCAGATAGCGTTTGACAATGGCATCTCCCGCAAGAACTCCTTTCTGTTCCTGGCCGGCCTCAACGTCACCGTTCTCGCCAGCACCTTCATCATCTACCCCCGCTGGTTCATCAAGAAACACAAACCCCCGGTGAAAGGCAACCCCGGTAAGTAAGTAAGTGAGTGAGTTTAGTTTTACGCCACGTTTAGCAATATTCCACCAATATCATGGCGGGGGACACCAGAAATGGGCTTCACACATTGTACCCATGTGGGGAACCGAACCCAGGTCTTTGGCGTGACGACTGAACGCTCTAACCACGAGGCTACATACCGCCCCACCCCCGTAAGGGCTTGACCGTCAAATTATTCAGTTTTTGGGATGGGACGCGGCTACGTGGGCGGGGTGTGGCAGTTTGTTGGGGTTGGGGGTCTAGTGTTTGTCAGATAAGCGTTAATTTTAGGTCTGGCGTAAACATATTGTGTCTATAAAGACAGCAAGCAGCGCGCTTCTGAGTACATCAACACTGAATGCGACGTTAAACTCTATTTTACCTAATCGCATTTCACATCACTGTGCCGCACCTCACCTGATACGTTATGATATACGTAAATGTTTATATACAACAGAACAACGTACTACCTTATCCTGAATGAACACAAAATGATAGGAGTTTTCCGTTACCATCATCTTTCAATCTCAAATTATCCGTTACCAGTGTTAAAGACTCTGTGACATTTCTAAAATAATATTTTAGTGAAATTGATGTTGAAATATTGACATTAATGACACAATTTTATGTGGAAAACCTGACATAATTCGTTGTGAATATTTTGGTCTTTGAGGGTTGTTAATCTAGATGTTTTACACATTTTTATTATCAAAATGACTTTCACTGCAAATTATGATAAAAATGATATCTATGCTATTGCTAGATTTATTCAAGTAAATCATCAAGTTGCAAGATGATATTATGCGTTGATTAGGGAAATTATAATCTGTAATACCACAACTAAAGCTATAATTACCATTTAATCTTATTATAACACATATCATTGCAAAGACTCTGTGACAAATCACGAAGACTCTGCCACAAATCATAAAGTTTCTGTCGCAAAAATCACAAAGACTCCACTCTGACTGTAACCAAGTTCCCTACCAGTGGTAACGTATACCCTTGAGATTATCGAGGATGAGTGGTATTGCACGAACATTGCTAAACGTGGCGTAAAGTCATATTTACTCACAACCCACAGTGTTTCATTAGATAACACACTTGCAAAAGCATAATGACTGACTCCCTCACTAACTCACTTCAGACGACGAGGTGAACGCCAACCAGGAGCAGGAGAGGGAGCTGAGTATTGAAGCCTCCCAGAGCCAGACCAGCATCATGCAGTCCATCCTCACCCCCTTCTTCATCTTCCACCTGGTCTGGTTCTGCACCCTCTTCCTCCACTTCACCTACTTCGTCTCGTCACTCAACTCCTGGCTCAACTACGTGCTGGACAGGGACAGAGAGAAAGGTAACACCGTCTAGTTCCTGTTGTTGATACTGTATGTGCTTTAGTGATTCTTTACTGTCTGGCTCAACTACGTGCTGGACAGGGACAGAGAGAAAGGTAACACCGTCTAGTTCCTGTTGTTGATACTGTATGTGCTTTAGTGATTCTTTACTGTCTGGCTCAACTACGTACTGTGCTGGACAGGAACAGAGAGAAAGGTAACGCCGTCTAGTTCCAGTTGTTGATACTGTATGTGCTTTAGTGATTCTTTTCTGTCTGGCTCAACTACGTGCTGGACAGGGACAGAGAGAAAGGTAACGCCGTGTAATTCCAGTTGTTGATACTGTATGTGCTTTAGTGATTCTTTACTGTCTGGCTCAGCAACGTGCTGGACAGGGACAGAGAGAAAGGTAACACCGTCTAGTTCCAGTTGTTGATACTGTATGTGCTTTAGTGATTCTTTACTGTCTGGCTCAACTACGTGCTGGACAGGGACAGAGAGAAAGGTAACACCGTCTAGTTCCAGTTGTTGACACTGTATGTGGTTTAGTGGTCCTTTACTGTCTGGCTCAACTACGTGCTGGACAGGGACAGAGAGAAAGGTAACGCCGTCTAGTTCCTGTTGTTGACACTGTATGTGCTTTAGTGATTCTTTACTGTCTGGCCTCAACTACGTGCTGGACAGGGACAGAGAGAAAGGTAACACCGTCTAGTTCCAGTTGTTGACACTGTATGTGCTTTAGTAATTCTTTACTGTCTGGCTCAACTACGTGCTGGACAGGGACAGAGAAAGGAAACACCGTCTAGTTCCAGTTGTTGACACTGTATGTGGTTTAGTAATTCTTTACAAACACCCTGTAGTTCCAGTTGTTGATACTGTATGTGCTTTAGTGATTCTTTACTGTCTGGCTCAGCAACGTGCTGGACAGGGACAGAGAGAAAGGTAACACCGTCTAGTTCCAGTTGTTGACACTGTATGTGCTTTAGTGATTCTTTACTGTCTGGCTCAACTACGTGCTGGACAGGGACAGAGAGAAAGGTAACACCGTGTAGTTCCAGTTGTTGATACTGTTTGTGCTTTAGTGATTCTTTACTGTCTGGCTCAACTACGTGCTGGACAGGGACAGAGAGAAAGGTAACACCGTCTAGTTCCAGTTGTTGACACTGTATGTGGTTTAGTGATTCTTTACTGTCTGGGTCAACAACGTGCTGGACAGGGACAGAGAGAAAGGAAACACCGTGTAGTTCCAGTTGTTGATACTGTATGTGGTTTAGTGATTCTTTACTGTCTGGCTCAACTACGTGCTGGACAGGGGCAGAGAGAAAGGTAACACCGTGTAGTTCCAATTGTTGATACTGTATGTGCTTTAGTGATTCTTTACTGTCTGGCTCAACTACGTGCTGGACAGGGACAGAGAGAAAGGTAACACCGTCTAGTTCCAGTTGTTGACACTGTATGTGCTTTAGTGATTCTTTACTGTCTGGCTCAACTACGTGCTGGACAGGGACAGAGGGAAAGGTAACATTGTCTAGTTCCAGTTGTTGACACTGTATGTGCTTAAGTGATTCTTTACTGTCTGGCTCAACTACGTACTGTGCTGGACAGGACAGGAACAGAGAGAAAGGTAACGCCGTCTAGTTCCAGTTGTTGATACTGTATGTGCTTTAGTGATTCTTTACTGTCTGGCTCAACTACGTGCTGGACAGGGACAGAGAGAAAGGTAACACCGTCTAGTTCCAGTTGTTGATACTGTATGTGCTTTAGTGGTCCTTTACTGTCTGGCTCAACTACGTGCTGGACAGGGACAGAGAGAAAGGTAACACCGTCTAGTTCCAGTTGTTGATACTGTATGTGGTTTAGTGATTCTTTACTGTCTGGCTCAACTACGTACTGGACAGGGACAGAGAGAAAGGTAACACCGTCTAGTTCCAGTTGTTGATACTGTATGTGCTTTAGTGATTCTTTACTGTCTGGCTCAACTACGTGCTGGACAGGGACAGAGAGAAAGGTAACACCGTCTAGTTCCAGTTGTTGACACTGTATGTGCTTTAGTGATTCTTTACTGTCTGGCTCAACTACGTGCTGGACAGGGAGAGAGGGAAAGGTAACATCGTCTAGTTCCAGTTGTTGACACTGTATGTGCTTAAGTGATTCTTTACTGTCTGGCTCAACTACGTACTGTGCTGGACAGGACAGGAACAGAGAGAAAGGTAACGCCGTCTAGTTCCAGTTGTTGATACTGTATGTGCTTTAGTGATTCTTTACTGTCTGGCTCAACTACGTGCTGGACAGGGACAGAGAGAAAGGTAACACCGTCTAGTTCCAGTTGTTGATACTGTATGTGCTTTAGTGGTCCTTTACTGTCTGGCTCAACTACGTGGTGGACAGGAACAGAGAGAAAGGTAACGCCGTCTAGTTCCAGTTGTTGATACTGTATGTGGTTTAGTGATTCTTTACTGTCTGGCTCAACTACGTACTGGACAGGGACAGAGAGAAAGGTAACACCGTCTAGTTCCAGTTGTTGATACTGTATGTACTTTAGTGATTCTTTACTGTCTGGCTCAACTACGTGCTGGACAGGGACAGAGAGAAAGGTAACACCGTCTAGTTCCAGTTGTTGACACTGTATGTGCTTTAGTGATTCTTTACTGTCTGGCTCAACTACGTACTGTGCCTGACAGGGACAGAGAGAAAGGTAACACCGTCTAGTTCCAGTTGTTGATACTGTATGTGCTTTAGTGATTCTTTACTGTCTGGCTCAACTACGTGCTGGACAGGGACAGAGAGAAAGGTAACGCCGTCTAGTTCCAGTTGTTGACACTGTATGTGCTTTAGTGATTCTTTACTGTCTGGGTCAACTACGTGCTGGACAGGGACAGAGAGAAAGGTAACACCGTCTAGTTCCAGTTGTTGACACTGTATGTGGTTTAGTGGTCCTTTACTGTCTGGCTCAACTACGTGCTGGACAGGGACAGAGAGAAAGGTAACACCGTCTAGTTCCAGTTGTTGACACTGTATGTGGTTTAGTGGTCCTTTACTGTCTGGATCAACTACGTGCTGGACAGGGACAGAGAGAAAGGTAACACCGGCTAGTTCCAGTTGTTGACGCTGTATGTGGTTTAGTAATTCTTTACTGTCTGGCTCAACTACGTACTGGACAGGGACAGAGAGAAAGGAAACACCGTGTAGTTCCAGTTGTTGATACTGTATGTGGTTTAGTGATTCTTTACTGTCTGGCTCAGCAACGTGCTGGACAGGGACAGAGAGAAAGGAAACACCGTGTAGTTCCAGTTGTTGATACTGTATGTGGTTTAGTGATTCTTTACTGTCTGGGTCAACTACGTGCTGGACAGGGACAGTGAGAAAGGTAACACCGTCTAGTTCCAGTTGTTGACACTGTATGTGCTTTAGTGATTCTTTACTGTCTGGCTCAACTACGTGCTGGACAGGGACAGAGAGAAAGGTAACACCGTCTAGTTCCAGTTGTTGACACTGTGTGTGGTTTAGTAATTCTTTACTGTCTGGCTCAACTACGTGCTGGACAGGGACAGAGAGAAAGGTAACACCGTCTAGTTCCAGTTGTTGACACTGTATATGCTTTAATGATCCTTTACTGTCTGGCTCAACTACGTACTGTGCTGGACAGGGAGAGAGAGAAAGGTAACACCGTCTAGTTCCAGCTGTTGACACTGTATGTGCTTTAGTGATTCTTTACTGTCTGGCTCAACTACGTGCTGGACAGGGACAGAGAGAAAGGTAACACCGTCTAGTTCCAGCTGTTGATACTGTATGTGCTTTAGTGATTCTTTACTGTCTGGCTCAACTACGTGCTGGACAGGGACAGAGAGAAAGGTAACACCGTCTAGTTCCAGTTGTTGACACTGTATGTGCTTTAGTGATTCTTTACTGTCTGGCTCAACTATGTACTGTGCCTGACAGGGACAGAGAGAAAGGTAACACCGTCTAGTTCCAGTTGTTGATACTGTATGTGCTTTAGTGATTCTTTACTGTCTGGCTCAACTACGTGCTGGACAGGGACAGAGAGAAAGGTAACGCCGTCTAGTTCCAGTTGTTGACACTGTATGTGCTTTAGTGATTCTTTACTGTCTGGCTCAACTGCGTGCTGGACAGGGACAGAGAGAAAGGTAACACCGTCTAGTTCCAGTTGTTGACACTGTATGTGGTTTAGTGGTCCTTTACTGTCTGGCTCAACTACGTGCTGGACAGGGACAGAGAGAAAGGTAACACCGTCTAGTTCCAGTTGTTGACACTGTATGTGGTTTAGTGGTCCTTTACTGTCTGGCTCAACTACGTGCTGGACAGGGACAGAGAGAAAGGTAACACCGGCTAGTTCCAGTTGTTTACGCTGTATGTGGTTTAGTAATTCTTTACTGTCTGGCTCAACTACGTACTGGACAGGGACAGAGAGAAAGGAAACACCGTGTAGTTCCAGTTGTTGATACTGTATGTGGTTTAGTGATTCTTTACTGTCTGGCTCAGCAACGTGCTGGACAGGGACAGAGAGAAAGGAAACACCGTGTAGTTCCAGTTGTTGACACTGTATGTGGTTTAGTGATTCTTTACTGTCTGGGTCAACTACGTGCTGGACAGGACAGTGAGAAAGGTAACACCGTCTAGTTCCAGTTGTTGACACTGTATGTGCTTTAGTGATTCTTTACTGTCTGGCTCAACTACGTGCTGGACAGGGACAGAGAGAAAGGTAACACCGTCTAGTTCCAGTTGTTGACACTGTGTGTGGTTTAGTAATTCTTTACTGTCTGGCTCAACTACGTGCTGGACAGGGACAGAGAGAAAGGTAACACCGTCTAGTTCCAGTTGTTGACACTGTATATGCTTTAATGATCCTTTACTGTCTGGCTCAACTACGTACTGTGCTGGACAGGGACAGAGAGAAAGGTAACACCGTCTAGTTCCAGCTGTTGACACTGTATGTGCTTTAGTGATTCTTTACTGTCTGGCTCAACTACGTGCTGGACAGGGGCAGAGAGAAAGGTAACACCGTGTAGTTCCAATTGTTGATACTGTATGTGCTTTAGTGATTCTTTACTGTCTGGCTCAACTACGTGCTGGACAGGGACAGAGAGAAAGGTAACACCGTCTAGTTCCAGTTGTTGACACTGTATGTGCTTTAGTGATTCTTTACTGTCTGGCTCAACTACGTGCTGGACAGGGACAGAGGGAAAGGTAACATTGTCTAGTTCCAGTTGTTGACACTGTATGTGCTTAAGTGATTCTTTACTGTCTGGCTCAACTACGTACTGTGCTGGACAGGACAGGAACAGAGAGAAAGGTAACGCCGTCTAGTTCCAGTTGTTGATACTGTATGTGCTTTAGTGATTCTTTACTGTCTGGCTCAACTACGTGCTGGACAGGGACAGAGAGAAAGGTAACACCGTCTAGTTCCAGTTGTTGATACTGTATGTGCTTTAGTGGTCCTTTACTGTCTGGCTCAACTACGTGCTGGACAGGGACAGAGAGAAAGGTAACACCGTCTAGTTCCAGTTGTTGATACTGTATGTGGTTTAGTGATTCTTTACTGTCTGGCTCAACTACGTACTGGACAGGGACAGAGAGAAAGGTAACACCGTCTAGTTCCAGTTGTTGATACTGTATGTGCTTTAGTGATTCTTTACTGTCTGGCTCAACTACGTGCTGGACAGGGACAGAGAGAAAGGTAACACCGTCTAGTTCCAGTTGTTGACACTGTATGTGCTTTAGTGATTCTTTACTGTCTGGCTCAACTACGTGCTGGACAGGGAGAGAGGAAAGGTAACATCGTCTAGTTCCAGTTGTTGACACTGTATGTGCTTAAGTGATTCTTTACTGTCTGGCTCAACTACGTACTGTGCTGGACAGGACAGGAACAGAGAGAAAGGTAACGCCGTCTAGTTCCAGTTGTTGATACTGTATGTGCTTTAGTGATTCTTTACTGTCTGGCTCAACTACGTGCTGGACAGGGACAGAGAGAAAGGTAACACCGTCTAGTTCCAGTTGTTGATACTGTATGTGCTTTAGTGGTCCTTTACTGTCTGGCTCAACTACGTGGTGGACAGGAACAGAGAGAAAGGTAACGCCGTCTAGTTCCAGTTGTTGATACTGTATGTGGTTTAGTGATTCTTTACTGTCTGGCTCAACTACGTACTGGACAGGGACAGAGAGAAAGGTAACACCGTCTAGTTCCAGTTGTTGATACTGTATGTACTTTAGTGATTCTTTACTGTCTGGCTCAACTACGTGCTGGACAGGGACAGAGAGAAAGGTAACACCGTCTAGTTCCAGTTGTTGACACTGTATGTGCTTTAGTGATTCTTTACTGTCTGGCTCAACTACGTACTGTGCCTGACAGGGACAGAGAGAAAGGTAACACCGTCTAGTTCCAGTTGTTGATACTGTATGTGCTTTAGTGATTCTTTACTGTCTGGCTCAACTACGTGCTGGACAGGGACAGAGAGAAAGGTAACGCCGTCTAGTTCCAGTTGTTGACACTGTATGTGCTTTAGTGATTCTTTACTGTCTGGGTCAACTACGTGCTGGACAGGGACAGAGAGAAAGGTAACACCGTCTAGTTCCAGTTGTTGACACTGTATGTGGTTTAGTGGTCCTTTACTGTCTGGCTCAACTACGTGCTGGACAGGGACAGAGAGAAAGGTAACACCGTCTAGTTCCAGTTGTTGACACTGTATGTGGTTTAGTGGTCCTTTACTGTCTGGATCAACTACGTGCTGGACAGGGACAGAGAGAAAGGTAACACCGGCTAGTTCCAGTTGTTGACGCTGTATGTGGTTTAGTAATTCTTTACTGTCTGGCTCAACTACGTACTGGACAGGGACAGAGAGAAAGGAAACACCGTGTAGTTCCAGTTGTTGATACTGTATGTGGTTTAGTGATTCTTTACTGTCTGGCTCAGCAACGTGCTGGACAGGGACAGAGAAAGGAAACACCGTGTAGTTCCAGTTGTTGATACTGTATGTGGTTTAGTGATTCTTTACTGTCTGGGTCAACTACGTGCTGGACAGGGACAGTGAGAAAGGTAACACCGTCTAGTTCCAGTTGTTGACACTGTATGTGCTTTAGTGATTCTTTACTGTCTGGCTCAACTACGTGCTGGACAGGGACAGAGAGAAAGGTAACACCGTCTAGTTCCAGTTGTTGACACTGTGTGTGGTTTAGTAATTCTTTACTGTCTGGCTCAACTACGTGCTGGACAGGGACAGAGAAAGGTAACACCGTCTAGTTCCAGTTGTTGACACTGTATATGCTTTAATGATCCTTTACTGTCTGGCTCAACTACGTACTGTGCTGGACAGGGAGAGAGAGAAAGGTAACACCGTCTAGTTCCAGCTGTTGACACTGTATGTGCTTTAGTGATTCTTTACTGTCTGGCTCAACTACGTGCTGGACAGGGACAGAGAGAAAGGTAACACCGTCTAGTTCCAGCTGTTGATACTGTATGTGCTTTAGTGATTCTTTACTGTCTGGCTCAACTACGTGCTGGACAGGGACAGAGAGAAAGGTAACACCGTCTAGTTCCAGTTGTTGACACTGTATGTGCTTTAGTGATTCTTTACTGTCTGGCTCAACTATGTACTGTGCCTGACAGGGACAGAGAGAAAGGTAACACCGTCTAGTTCCAGTTGTTGATACTGTATGTGCTTTAGTGATTCTTTACTGTCTGGCTCAACTACGTGCTGGACAGGGACAGAGAGAAAGGTAACGCCGTCTAGTTCCAGTTGTTGACACTGTATGTGCTTTAGTGATTCTTTACTGTCTGGCTCAACTGCGTGCTGGACAGGGACAGAGAGAAAGGTAACACCGTCTAGTTCCAGTTGTTGACACTGTATGTGGTTTAGTGGTCCTTTACTGTCTGGCTCAACTACGTGCTGGACAGGGACAGAGAGAAAGGTAACACCGTCTAGTTCCAGTTGTTGACACTGTATGTGGTTTAGTGGTCCTTTACTGTCTGGCTCAACTACGTGCTGGACAGGGACAGAGAGAAAGGTAACACCGGCTAGTTCCAGTTGTTTACGCTGTATGTGGTTTAGTAATTCTTTACTGTCTGGCTCAACTACGTACTGGACAGGGACAGAGAGAAAGGAAACACCGTGTAGTTCCAGTTGTTGATACTGTATGTGGTTTAGTGATTCTTTACTGTCTGGCTCAGCAACGTGCTGGACAGGGACAGAGAGAAAGGAAACACCGTGTAGTTCCAGTTGTTGACACTGTATGTGGTTTAGTGATTCTTTACTGTCTGGGTCAACTACGTGCTGGACAGGGACAGTGAGAAAGGTAACACCGTCTAGTTCCAGTTGTTGACACTGTATGTGCTTTAGTGATTCTTTACTGTCTGGCTCAACTACGTGCTGGACAGGGACAGAGAGAAAGGTAACACCGTCTAGTTCCAGTTGTTGACACTGTGTGTGGTTTAGTAATTCTTTACTGTCTGGCTCAACTACGTGCTGGACAGGGACAGAGAGAAAGGTAACACCGTCTAGTTCCAGTTGTTGACACTGTATATGCTTTAATGATCCTTTACTGTCTGGCTCAACTACGTACTGTGCTGGACAGGGACAGAGAGAAAGGTAACACCGTCTAGTTCCAGCTGTTGACACTGTATGTGCTTTAGTGATTCTTTACTGTCTGGCTCAACTACGTGCTGGACAGGGACAGAGAGAAAGGTAACACCGTCTAGTTCCAGTTGTTGATACTGTATGTGCTTTAGTGGTCCTTTACTGCCTGATCTGTCGTGTAGGTTGAACCTGGTTCAGAATGAACGACAGCAACACTATCGTGACGTTATTCTAATGCTGTCGTTGATGTTGCAGTGAGTTACTACACCAACGTCCACCTCTACTCCCTGATGCCCGCCATCGTCGTGGCCTGGTTAGCGGGACTCGTCTTCGACGGCGCGAAGAGGTTCTACCGAGGTGAGACCTGGGCCTCTAGCCCTTTCCGCAAAAAGCAAGTCTAGATTTCCTCAGGCTCGGATTCTCCCTTCTCACTGGGGCTCATTTTCGATTTGAAAAGAATTATTTGTTTCTATCAAAATTAAGTATATACAAAGCGTTAGTCTAGGGATTTCCCAAATATACGTTTAATGTATATATATGGCATGAGAGAGAGAGATATAAGGGTGAACAGAGAAGCATCTGGGACAAGTGGGAGTCTCGGATGGTTACAAGGGGCGGTGGGGTAGAATACCATGTGTGAAGTCTGGTGTCACGCGTCACGATATTGTTGGAATATTGTTAAAAGCAGAGTAAAATGATATTCCCTAACTCGCAAGTTCACAAAGTCTGTCCTAAACGTTGACTCATCTTATGTCACTACTGGTCATTTCTGCTAGTATTTGGAGAGATCCATTTGAAACTGACGTCTCTATTTTACGAGGCTATTGCATTACATCTTACAACTCAATCGTGACTTTGTTGTAACACGATATTAAACTGTGCACCCAGTTTCTGTTAACTGTTAAGAAGGCCGTGATTATGTTGGAACTGAATGCTGAAGGGTCGGTCGGTATACGACTTGAACTAAAAGATATCGCGGGATGTGAGGCCACTGCATTTACGAAATGTAAATTGCCTACATGTACGGGATGTGAAGTCATTACATTTTGGGGATGTGAGACCGCCTCCGTGGTGTAGTGGTTAGAGCGTCCGCCCGGAGAGCGGAAGGTCGCGGGTTCGATCCCCGACCGCGTCATACCAAAAGACGTTAAAATATGATACTTGTTGGTCCCTGCCTGGCGCTCGGCATTATCGGGTACAACAAGGACTGGTCGGCTCGGAGTCAGTATAATGTGTCTGAGTGGGGTATTCATGCTTCACTGCGGCATGGTATCTCAGTGGGCTAGCACTATAAAACCAGCTTAGGTCTGGGCTAGTACAAGCAGCCGCACATACACATACACACGCATGCACGTCGTCATATGAGCGAAATATTCTCAAGTACGACGTTAAACCCGATTTCACCTCACCTTTGGGGATGTGAAGTCCGTTTCACATTTTCTCGTCACTATTGATACGAGTAACGACAAAATGACATCGGTAAGACCGAGTGATGACGAATCGAGTGTTAAAGAAATAACGTCGATAAGTGAGGAATGGTGGAGAAATATCATCGGTAAGTGGCGAGTAGTGGAGAAATAGCACTGATAAGTGACGAGTGGTAGAAAACATGATATCTGTTAGGGGTGATGACAAATGACATCAGCAGTGATAGAGAAATGACATCGATTATCAATATAAGTGACGAGCGGTAGGGAAGTGATAGCGGTAAGTGACGAGTAACAGAGAAGTGATATCGTAAGTGACAAGTGTTACTTGTTTCAGACGATCTGAGGCCACTTCGAGGAAAGATACGGGCATCGGTAGTACCCCTGACGATGACGTCGCTAAGTGCTGTGCTCGTGTCGGTACTGATGCTGTGTCCAGATGAGAATGTGTTGTATGTGACGTTCCTTGCAGTCATGGTGTTTAGGGCGTTCCTGTACGCCACGGCATCGTCATTCCTCATTGCCGTGTAAGTAGCTCACAAACACATTGGGGCGGTGGGATAGCCTGGTGGTTAAAGTGTTCGCTCATCACGCCGACGACCAGGTTCGATTCCCCACATGGGCCCATTTCTGGTGTCCCTAGTTATTGCTGGAATATTGCTACAAGCGGCGTAAAACAAAACCCACTCACAAATGTATCAGCGTCCATCGGCAGCATATCTATACGTGACGACAGTAGTTCAATTTCGTTGAAAAATCAAAGACATAATATATGAAAAACATGTTTCCGTTGTGGAATATAAACATACCTCGCAACTCGTCTTATCAAAGGTCTTGGTTCGATTCCACACATGGGTAAAACTCGTGAAGCCTATTTCAGGGAAGACTAATATATTGCGATACTGTTTGGTTACTGGAAATTGATTACCACCGCAATGAGTACAACGTTTGGGTCATAAACATAGTTATGCTTCAGACACTAAAGGTATTTTTTCAAGGTTCCAAAAAGATTAGAGCCATTAACTTGAATTTCAGATTTCCACTTGAACAGTTCGGAATCCTGTACAGCGCCTCTCTGATCAGCGCAGGCGCACTGGCCTTCCTTCAGTATGCCTTGTTTATGTGGAGCCAGCACAGTGGCTTCGACACGGTGAGAACAGTGTGTTACCTTGATTACCGAAACGTCAATGACGTCACTAAATGAGACTCCTTTTTCCAACCCCTTTTTTAGTTCAGTTTGTTTTCTCAACTAAATGTAAACGGGGAGAGCACATGTGGCAAATGCAATTCGCTTTGGCGTCCTTAAGGCTTCCCCAATTGGCGTGCGAGTAGGTGAGACCGGGTCTCCAATCTCAGTTCTCACTGATGATTCTGATCGTGTTTCCAGACTTGGTGTCATGCTTGTCTCTGGACCCGCCGCTGGATAATCAGGTCGGGGCGGTGGGGTAGCCTAGTGGTTAAATCGTTTGCCTTGGCCTTGGTTCGATGCCCCACATGGGTACAATGCGTGAAGCCAATGTCTGGTGTCCCCCGCCGTAATATTGCTAGAATATTGCTAAAAGCGGCGTAAAACCACACTCACTCACTCTTTTTCAGGTGAACGAGTTCCTGGCTGGAATGGCGGCGTTTACCTTGGTGCATCCCCTCTATCAATATGTCTCGTGTGCCCGTACCTCACGTTCAAGGAGACACTACGAAAAAGTATGATCTCATTGGATGCATTGAAAAAGATATGATCTCATTGGTTACAATGTATATTATCGTGTAAACCCATCTTCGATTATCCAGGGTTAAATATCCCCAGTCTGTGATGAACAAGCGCGGATGTAGCTGATTCTTTCAGGATGGGGGCTTGATGTCATCACATGTAAACATACAAATGTTGGATAACTCGAGCGTGCGAACATCCTTTCTGGAATCGAGGATGCTAAATACCCCTTATCCTGGCGGGGCGGTGGGGTAGCCCAGTGTTTAAAGGGTTCGCTCGTCACCCCGAAGACCCTGGTTCGATTCCCATTTCTGCTGTCCCAATCTGTGATATTGCTGGAATATTGCTTAAGGCGGCTTAAAACCCAGCTCACTCACTCTGATCCATTCACTACAGCAGGGTTTTTTCTTCTTGAGCCCGATTTAGTCTCATTAACACCAGGGTCATACAGATTTGTCTTCTGTCAAAATCCCTCTTTTTGAGACTAGAGTTTATTAACAAATACCGCTCCAAGGTCCCGTCCTCAATAGTGATCTTTGCGCTAAACTAAATTACTCACATACTTTAACATGGGCTTACAACGGTCATAATGTCTAATACCCTGGACAGTCGAAGATGGGTCAGCCCAGTGAGGAAGCTCTATGTGTACACACACCGGCTCCGTCCGTCATTTTGCTCAACTTAGTTTCATGTACGTGGCACCCGTACAGCTTTCTGGTTCTGATATTTATGATTTTTCAAATGGTTGTTAAATTCATATGTATTCAGTATGAATTATCCTGATTCCAGATATATATTGGGGAAGATATGCTGTGATTCCGTTCCCACAACTTAGAAACTTTTTTATTTTTCTTAATGTAATTTAGCATACACAATAAGCAAGTGTTGATGCAGTGCTTCACACAGGGGCTTGTGACGAACAATAATGACATAAAGGTATATAATGGCACTGACTAGTTTCTCAGCTCTATATAAAATGACTGCTAAGACCCCGTCAGCGACAACATCTACCTTGGTGCCAGGTTTTTTTTCGTGTTTTGAGGGGCGTCACAAGCCCCAACAGTGATTCTTAAATTCGTAATCAAGCCACATTTCAGAAGTTGAACCCCTAACGGGTTTGGTCTTTGCTCTAGAAGGATTTGGGCTTTGCTCTAGAAGGGTTTGGCTGGCCTTTGCTCTTGAAGCTTTGCTCTGGAAAGGGCTGGTCTTTGCTCCAGAAGGGATTTGGTCTCGGGCTTTGCTCCAGAAGGGTTTGGGCTTTGCTTAAGAAGGATTTGGGCTTTGCTCTTGAAGGGTTTGGGCTTTGCTCCAGAAGGGTTTGGCTGGCCTTTGCTCTTGAAGCTTTGCTCTGGAAAGGGCTGGTCTTTGCTCCAGAAGGGATTTGGTCTCGGGCTTTGCTCCAGAAGGGTTTGGGCTTTGCTTTAGAAGGGTTTGGGCTTTCCTCTAGAAGGGTTTGGTCTGGCTATTGTATTAGAAGGGTTTCGGGCTTTGCTTAAGAAGGATTTGGGCTTTGCTCTCGAAGGGTTTGGGCTTTGCTCCAGAAGGGTTTGGCTGGCCTTTGCTCTTGAAGCTTTGCTCTGGAAAGGTCTGGTCTTTGCTCCAGAAGGGATTTGGTCTCGGGCTTTGCTCCAGAAGGGTTTGGGCTTTGCTTTAGAAGGGTTTGGGCTTTCCTCTAGAAGGGTTTAGTCTGGCTATTGTATTAGAAGGGTTTCGGGCTTTGCTTAAGAAGGATTTGGGCTTTGCTCTCGAAGGTTTTGGGCTTTGCTCCAGAAGGGTTTGGCTGGCCTTTGCTCTTGAAGCTTTGCTCTGGAAAGGTCTGGTCTTTGCTCCAGAAGGGATTTGGTCTCGGGCTTTGCTCCAGAAGGGTTTGGGCTTTGCTTTAAAAGGATTTGGGCTTTGCTTTAGAAGGATTTGGGCTTTGCTTAAGAAGGGTTTCGGGCTTTGCTCTCGAAGGGTTTCGGCTTTGCTGTAGAAGGGTTTGGTCTGGCTATTGTATTAGAAGGGTTTCGGGCTTTGCTCTCGAAGGGTTTGGGCTTTGCTGTAGAAGGGTTTGATCTGGCTATTGTATTAGAAGGGTTTCGGGCTTTGCTCTCGAAGGGTTTGGGCTTTGCTGTAGAAGGATTTGGGCTTTGCTGTAGTAGGATTTGGGCTTTGAACAGTTAACACGTCCGTAAGTTCATATTATACATTAGCAGCGTTGCTGAATTATTATATAGATTCCTGGTAGATAAACAACGTTGTGATTAGAAACGTTAGAATTTCATAGATTTAATTCGGTTTGAGATCAGTCACCTCTACTAATTAGTGTTTTAAGCAGATATATTTTCTGCTATCTTTGAGGTGAAATGACATCATAACTGCTAATAACATTACACGACACAATAATCTCCACACGGCAACGTACAGAAACCCTTTGTATCTTTATGCCAGTAAAGATTCGAGATGTTCATGGACAACAATAATGGCCAGTGGGAGGGGTGTATGATGTAATATTTTATGTGCGGTTTATTCATTTAGTTCCCGTTGTCTTTATAGCCTCTTTAACCTTTGTCGTTTGTGGTCTGCGGATCTGTCACCCGAGTGTCGTAAGAGGCGACTAACGGGATCGGGTGGTCAGGCTCGCTGACTTGGTTGACACATCGTATCCCAATTGTGTTAATCGATGCTCATGTTGTTGATCACTGGATTGTCTGGTCCAGATTCAGTGACCGCCGTCATATAGCTGATATAACGGTGAGTGCGGCTTTAAACAACAAATAAACAAACTATGTATTCTGAAACCAAGGACAAGTAATGGAAATGGCTCCATAGTGAATAAGTCAGTGAGGGTGTTTGTGGAAAATCGCGTTATTCGTCTCGATTAGATTAATATGTTAGCATCGATATACATATGGGTGTCATTTCACGCACACGCACTCGCGCGCACGCACGCACACACACACACCACAGTACATCGTGTCCTTTCCAACATATCCTAGCTACGTATCTCCTATATGGGCGTGTCTACATTTGGATTTGCATATATATGCACAGAACCTGATGTGCATACTGTGCTTCATATCAGGGAAGAAGGTGTACGGTATTTTAACGCCCATGAGTGTCCAAAAGTAATTACATTCCATCAACCAGGGCGGAGCTTATCATTATTTCATGACTTTCACCAGAGATACTATTTAACCTGAGTGGTCCATTTTCATCTAAACACTCAAATTAGAGCCATACTTCAACGAGCCTTAGGATATTTCAGTACCCGACATTTAAAGATGCCGTTTTATTGGCGACGTCTCTTGATTTTCCATCCACGTGATTATTGAGGGCCCTCAACGTGGATATGAAAGTCTGTGGAGAATGATCATAATTCATTGCAAGTCATAACATCGTCTCTACTAATACCTCAGTGTGGTTTTACTGTAATACTCAAGAATGATCCCGAATGCTGCAGTTGCCACCTCCTCCTCCATTCATCCTTTAATATCAGTTTGTCTGTGTCAACACCCGTGAAGGTCCGGGTTAGAATTTGTCTTCAGCAACCCATGCTTGTCGTAAAAGGCGACTAACGGGATTGGGTGGTCAGGCTCGCTGAATTGGTTGACACGTGTCATCGTATCCCAATTACGCAGATCGATGCTGATGTCAATCAATTGATTGTCTGGTCCTGGATCCCGTTTCTCAAAGCGATCGTAGCGCTACGACAGTCGTAAGTCTATGTTAAAGTATGGGAGTTACGATCATCTTAGCGCTACGATCGCTTTGAGGAACGGGGCCCAGACTCGGTTATTTACAGACCGCCGTCGTATAGCTGGAATATTGTTGAGTGCAGCGTTAAACAACAAATAATGTTTTTGTCAGTACTGAGGCTACCTACCTGGCCGTTTGGCTGTTAGTCATCAGTAATATTAAATCTGTAAACCAGTCTCCTTACTAATATATTAGCTCCACATACGTATCGTTTATTTCTTTATGGAAAGTTGACTGTTACTAATGATTTTAGAACGATAACGAAAACTAGTTCGGAAAACAAGATGGCGACTAAAACGAAAACAGATTTTGGAAAACAAGATGGCGGCCCCCGACGAAACTACTATACGCTGGCAACCCTTAACACCTGGTAGTGAAATACAGACAAACTGATATTAACCAGTGAACTGATGAGGAAATGTGTTAATCGCAGCTGGGTCAAGAATGTTAGCATTTAGTGTCTCAAAGGTTTAGTAAGAATAGTCTCCACACGTTGTCCTACTGTATTGGCAATGCAAAGCCGGTTTTAGTTACAGAGTAATCTTAGTGGTGGAGGGATGTCGAATGTGAGCGATATATATGATGCATGTGTGTTAAGACAGTTTTGTGTTGTTGTTTCTCAGGAAAATGTTTTATATGCAGAAAAAGTGATCGTATGTTGATCAGTGGTTCTGATGAATGAATGAATTTAGTTTTACTCCGTTTTTTAGCAATATTCCACCAATATCACGACGGGGGACACCAGAAATGTGCTAAACACGTTGTACCTATGTGATGAATAGAACCCGGGTCTTCAGTGTGACGAGCGAACGCTTTAACCACTAGGCTACCCCACCGCCCCATCAACGGTTCTAATTCAGATTGGCTGCAATCATCCGTGGCATGATGGGTTAACTTAAGGTTAGCTTAGTGGTTAAAGCGTTGGCTCGTCACTCCGAAGACCCGGGTTCGAATCCCCACATGGGCACAATGAGTGAAGCCCATTTCTGGTGTCCCCCGCCGTGATATTGCTGGAATATTGCTAAAAGCTGCGTAAAACCAAAACTAAATCAGTTGGGTGTCGGGCGTACGCTCTAACCACATGACTGTCCCGCCCTCCCTATATTTAAAATCACACCATACGCTTCCGACACTTCATGATGATGATGATGATGATGACTGATTGCACGTGGATGTATTTTCAATATCAACCTTAATATATATATTTATTTAACTAATGTCACCGTGTTTATTGTTTTTATCCATTCGGACACACTTGGAATTTATGTATCTGATGTCATATACTCGATTGAGATGTTCCTTTTGACGGAATACTTTCGAATTCAGTCTGCACGATTGGAACAATGCAAGAACGTGCAATTCAACAGAAACATACCTTTCTTACATGGCACTTACATCCAAACGTTCTCGTGTTGTGACGCTAAATTGTAACTCAGTCTCACTCAATCACTTACATTTATGACCGCCTCCGTGGTGTAGTGGTTAGAGCGTCTGCCCGGAGAGCGGAAGGTCGCGGGTTCGATCCCCGACCGCGTCATACAAAAAGACGTTAAAATATGGTACTTGTTGGTCCCTGCCTGGCGCTCGGCATTTATGGGTACAACAAGGACTGGTCGGCTCGGAGTCAGTATAATGTGTCTGAGTGGGGTATTCATGCTTCACTGCGGCATGGTATCTCAGTGGGCTAGCACTATAAAACCAGTTTCAATCTGGGCTAGTTCAAGCAGCCGCACATACACATACACACGCATGCACGTCGTCATATGAGCGAAATATTCTCAAGCACGACGATAAACCCAATTTCCCCTCCCCACACTTACATGTATTTGCATGATGTAAAAACTGCCTGAAGCGCGCGTACAAGTGCTGTTGGGGGTAAGGGGTTCCTGGGGCGCGGCGGAGAGTCGGGGTGACCTTGTAGCAGGTCATTAGATAGGAAGTGTCCTTGTTTTTAGGAAAATGAAATAATTTTTAAACAAGGCATTCTGCTAACCGTTGCATTAAATCTCTGATCAAAAATATCTTTTAGCATTAACATGGGTGGTGCCACGTCTTGGATGCTTGTCGCGTTATGCTGGAGAGTTCCACTTTGTCGGATCAGTAGATGTTGATCATTGGCTATCTGGACCTTATCTACTGTCCCCTGTGGATATGTTCTTCAAGGTGTGTGCTGCTTCAACGCGCTGCAAACAAACGGGTTCTACATTTGACCCTGTCTGAAACCTCAACAGCCAGCTGGAAGCCAGGACTTGCCCCGCGGACACGTTTATGGGCATCCTCGATAATCTCCGGGGTATACGTTACGATCACTCTCCACTAAACCCTGGATGCATCCACGGCTTGGCCCGATGATTATATTACCTCCCTTTGCTGGCTCCGTATTCTCACAGTAGCCAATCAGCGAAGCCTCGGTTACATCCGAGCTTGCCAGTGTCAACAAAGATAGCGGTCGCAGTCACGAAGGTTTGTTCGCAGTGCCACTCAGATTTTGGGGGGAAATAATACAGACAAATTGACAGATCTAAAACTTTAAAAACATATATGAAAGAACCCCTTCTTCCTCTTTCAGAGTACCTGTGCATCAATTGTGTTGCCAAGTTTAAACAGTTAGATAATTTATGAAGCGAAAGTGAGTTGTGATTGGTTCGCTCAACTTCCCAGCGTAGGCACCTGATTGGATAAAAAGCCAGCAAAGGGAGGTAATAAAATAATCGGGCCAAGCCGTGGATGCATCCATGGTATAGTGGAGAGTGGTCGTAACGTATACCCTGGAGATTATCGAGGATGGTTTATGGGATATTGCTGGCGTTCTACTGTTAATGGGGTGGTGGGGTAGCCTAATGCTTAACGCTTTCGCTCGAAGCTCTGAAGACCCGGATTCGATTCCCTACATGGGTACAACGGGTGAAGATCATTTCTGGCGTCTCCGGCTGTGATATTGGTTGAATATTCCTAAAGAGGAGTAAAACGCAACTCACTCACTCACTTGTGCCAGTTGTGGTAATGGCCCGAACCAGGTGCTGTTTCTGGATCGGCTATTTGAGATTGACAATATGATTTTGTAGCAATTAGGCCAGAGCAATTATATTTCTTGTTTTACGGATCTGCCGGTCAAAAAATAAAATGTTAATATTTTTATTGGCCAAAAATGTAAATGTGCAAGAAAATGTTTTTGGATTGTTTTCTGCCCCATATATACTTTATAAATTGCCAAAAGTAAAAATACTTTTAGTATTTAAAAGGAGTATTACTTTGACTGCTGATTTTTATTTCTATTTTTTCCTCCTGCCTTTAGGTTTTCTGAGGACAAAAATCCGTAAAACAAGAAAAGAAATTGGTCTGGCCTCAAGGTGGTTTATCACTCACTAACGGATCAAAGCGGCTGTTGGTTACCATGTACCTGGTCAGTGTTGAGCACTCATGCTGGGAAGATAGTACTTCTGCACTAGGATTGGAGTCAAGTGAAGGATTTGGTACTTGTAATCTGGATTGATGTAAGATGAAAGCAACGCGCTTTTACTGATATTTACAGGATTTTATTCAGAACAGTTGATGAAACAATCCAAAGGAAACAAAGAAACAGAAAATTCCGGTTCCGACTGGAACCCAAACGTTGGACGTGAAACCTCATCTACGTGAACACTCGGCTATAGTCGGATTATTCCCCAACTAAACAACCCTTGGTGTTATATATAAACACAAGATGAGAATGTTTCCATTATATCGCGTGAATGTAGCACTAGGTATGTCCCAAGTTGGAACAATAAGCTTACTGAAAATCAATCGATGTGAAACCGACATTGAACAAGGTAATGTGACATAATTAACAGTTGTATTCTATAAGGCTGGCTGGCGATATAGATTATAGATATCGATCATCGTTAAATGAATATCGACCGAGAAATAACTGAGCAAAAAATGAATAAAAACTCTTAAAGAAATCAGCACGTCACGCCTGTGAATGGTAACATATGTTGGATTACCAACAAAACGTTTTCCTGAAAATACTTTGTTTGGTTCAAAATATCATTTTTAAAGGCACAATGTCAAACTTTTTCGACAATATTATGTAATATATTGATAAAAAAAAAAAAAAGACTTATTATCCCTTACGACTTGCCTGAAATCGATAATTGAAACTTCGAGGCGAACAGCTTCCAAACAGATGACACTTGCCATATGTGGAATGTGAACGATTGCTCCGAACATTGAAAACTGTCGCACGCTGTGTTGTTGGTGTTTGCCGAACTGGCCTAAATCACAAGTTGCATTATAGGATATTCGTAGAGAGCGTTCCAAGGAACATAAGTCTATGTGGTTCGTTTGAAGTAAAGTTCGGTCGCGAAACTCAATTTAATGCAACGTTGCATTAATTCATTCGAACTTTTTAAATTCATATTGTAATCTTAAAACCTATTTTTTAAAATAAATGATATGGTAGCTTCGCTGGGGCTGATAGTTATAATTAATGAGAGAAATGCATTATTGATTTTTAGAGAAGTGTGGCGTGATAGTGTGCCTTTAACTAGCCATTGTCATTTATAATTAGCCACTGATCAGTGACCAATTTCACAGCATCAAATATGATCGGATTTATCTGTTCCTAAATATCGCACCTCAATTCTCCGGAAGTTATTTATTTATGATTCTGCAATTTTATGGAATGCTCTCTCCTCTACAAAAAATGTACAAATTCATTATCATCGTTTAAATCAAAGTTATCTGGAAAAAATGACAAGGTTCCAAAATATTTTCTATTTGGTGAAAGAAAGACAAATATACTACACACGAAGTTAAGACATTCGTGTAGTTCATTACATGCAGATCTGTTTCGTGTTAATCTATCATAGAGTAGTGCTTGCAATTGTGGTGCTCATGTGGAAGATGCTACCAATTTCTTTTTAAAATGTCAAAAATTTGTCAGTTGCCGTTTTGATCTGAAGCAAGACTTTGAACTTATCAAAATGTTCACTTAGACATTAATACATGTACCATTCTTTACGGCAACCTCTGCTCTGCCAAATACTATTAATGAAAATATCTTTAGATAATATGTCTTAATATTATTATGTCCATTCATTACGTCCATTCATTATTGTTCATGTTTCTGATGGGAGCGGGCGGTAATAAGTTACATAACTTGTGCCCAATCCATTTTAACATTGAATAAAATATTTTCAAACAAGCATCACAACGGTCAGATGAAGGGACTTCATGTAGATACAATGTTTGAAACACGGTCTTTGTTTATTTAGTTTGTTGTTTAACGCCGCACTCAGCAATATTCCAGCTATAAGGCGGCGGTCTGGACCAGACAATCCAGTGATCAACAACATGAGCATCGATCTTGAATCTCTTTCAACATCTATTGTAGATATATGTTGTAGACGGTAGTATGTATGTTGACGGGTCATGGTTGTTCAAATGTAAACAAATAACATAAGTTAACGTGTTTTCCAAATCATTCAGCAAACTTCAAAATCGTTTCCTGGAAGATGACTTGTTATGTATTTTCTGTGGTAATGCATTCTCTGTGTTCGGTCAAGACATTCATTGCTGAAATATAATATAATGCATGCTAGAATGCCTAAAGTTGTGTATCTTGTTGGCTATCAAAATGATTTCATCTCTGTCCTGCAATAGCTTAATATCCATTTTCAGTCCGTTTAAGAAATTTATTTAAAATATCCACTCATCTGAACAATATGGATCACGGCACCACAACATTTCCATTACATAAAATACATACGTTTCTGTTTGAAATTACATTAACATTACATAAAATACATACGTTTCTGTTTGAAATTACATTTACATTACATAAAATACATGTTTCTGTTTGAAATTACATTTACATTACATAAAATACATACGTGTCTGTTTGAAATTACATTTACATTACATAAAATACATACGTTTCTGTTTGAAATTACATTTACATTACATAAAATACATACGTGTCTGTTTGAAATTACATTTACATTACATAAAATACATACGTGTCTGTTTGAAATTACATTTACATTACATAAAATACATACGTTTCTGTTTGAAATTACATTTACATTACATAAAATGCATACGTTTCTGTTTGAAATTACATTTACATTACATAAAATACATACGTTTCTGTTTGAAATTACATTTACATTACATAAAATACATACGTTTCTGTTTGAAATTACATTTACATTACATAAAATACATACGTGTCTGTTTGAAATTTCTTCTTAAAATGACGTTTGAAATTACACCTGAACAGTATGAGAATAGTCTGTCGTACAGACCTGAAAAAAATATATATATCCAATGTAGCCCATGCAAATCTAGAATGTGTGGCAAGTCTAGATTACAGCAGATAGAGTCTCTGAAAATGAAGAAAGTCTCAGGGCTCCTTTTTATTACATTTTATATTTATTATTATGAACTGGTTTTTTTTCTGTAAAATATGTTCATTTCCGAGACTAGGGGCCGTAAGTTCGAAGCAGGTTTTTCCGAGACCAGGTTCAGTCCATTGGTCTAACGGTAATATGGAAATGTAGTTTAGATAAACTAGCATTCCGACCAGGTTTAAATGTATTAATTACGTTTCACTGATTTTCCACTCCTGAATTTGTGAAAATCCATGTTTGAGCATGCTCAGTTGGCACTTCCTGTCAAAGCACATGGTAAAGTAGCATGGAACGTCAACATCAGTGAACAGCAGTTGCTTTTACGGTTTGAAGAGTACGTTTTGAACATGGCTACACCCCAAAGGGTGAGAATAAACAACTTTGAAGAGCAGCATAAAGATTTATTGATAGATTTAATTAAAGAAAATGTAATAATTATTGAGGACAAAAAGTGTGTCCTTCAATCATTACATCAAAAGAATTCGGCAAGTTTTAGTTGATGTGTTTTTTGAAGATCAAGGTTTAGCTGATGTTTCAAATCACTTTTGTGGTAGAGTTTGTTTTGGATATGATATTGTAAATTCTGTACCAACTCGAATTTAGTTGTTAGTCTAAGTATGAGACTCCCCGTGTTCCATAAAGTTGACGGAAACTGGTTGCCATGCGCAACTATGGCACAGAGTCAGATTATTGAAATTTTTTGCATTTCACATACTCGCCGCGAATGATGATGCGGCGTTAAGCAATACTCACTCACTCACTCACTCACTCATTTCGCATTTCAATTTTTACTCAGCTCCCCAGCAAAATCTTGATATATTTAGGTGTTTATCACCATCAACTAGTTTTAAATAAGTAACTGATATAACTTACCAAACCGAAACATGAGTCTCATTAACCTATTCAGACAATAACCTACATTTCAGCCGATCCGAATGTTGTCGTGTGAAAGTGAAACTAGACATCACAAACAACTATGGTTACACTGAATTCCAATTTCTTGTTGCATAAGAAAATGGTATTTACAAATGAATTTTAATTTCAAACTTTAATAACATCGTATATCTATAATTTATGGCGAGGTGTAGGCAACATGACCTTAACTAAGACGTGACAGACAGCCCAAGTTTGATGAGGTCGTAAAATGATTCACAAAGCATCTGGCTCACTGGTTACACCTTATGTTCTTTGCGCTTATTCAGTGTAGTTCTGTAACGCACAATGTGATATAATATCAAGTCCGTACCAGACCGCCAAAGGTTTCTAGCGGCAGAGCCTCGTTTTGAGATTTCCAGGTTTCTGTTTGTCAGTGCTCGCTGCACGACAGAGCGCGCTGCACGACATGTTTGCAGCGTTTATATAGAGCGTAGTGTTGCAATGTGCTTAGATGTATCAAATAATACTGATTAATATTTATGTATCCAGTTAAATGAATTGTTCTCAAAATGCTGGACTGGTTATTGTACTAAGTTGCGAAATAGGACGGAACCCAGTCAACAGGAAACGAGACTGTTGTGTAATCAATGTTTTGACTTGGCATATTCTGAACATACTGTCGCTTACATCTTGAAAGACTCGTCTCTATGTCGATCTTCCATTCAATGTCATATTTTTGTCTCTGTACATTCGCGTCGTTTACAGTCAGTATCAACTCGCATTGAAAACAAACACAGAACCTGGTCTTAAACTAAATAAATAATTAAATATACTGAGGGGGAAAATAAGGGAGCATGCGTGCTTTCATGTGATCCCTTATTTTTTTCCCTCAGTATATATATCCTTCTTCGGTATACTTGCATAGTTGTTCTGTATCAGAAAGACTATCACATCTGAGAACTGTGTTAAGATCCAGAAGGGTAAGATCCTTGTATAAGTGAACTCAGCAGAAAATGGGTACCCGGTGGAAAGGTTAATCCTTCTAACGCCTCACAGGCAGCTTGGGTAATAATATCCAGCATGTTGTAGGCGCTTAGAGCATGTTCCCGCGGCGTGGAGTTCAGCGCTATGTAAGTGGCCTCATTTATTACTATAAGTATGCAGTATCTAATCTGAGAGACGAATGAAGATCCTGCGGGAAATGACCTTCCTAACACACCTAGGCCATGGGAAGGTCCCCTGGGGATGTATCCCGGGTAGTCCTCTGTGCAATACAGACTCTCAGCAGGTGTATGAAGTACACCACGCAGTGTAAGATGATAGCAGCAATGGCCGAACCGACGGATACCGCGGCGCTCATGCCCGGGTTCTTGTTCCAGTCTAGGACACCATAGACGAAGGGCTCGCCGACATCGTTGGAGCCACCTGATAGGACGTACACGGCGTTGAAGACGCCGTAGATGATGGCCAAAATAACTGCATGGTAGAAATGGAGCAGCCGCACCGGTACAGCCGTCACCAGGAGGTTGAGCACGACGTAGATGATGTTGGCGCCATGGGTGAAGAAGCTGATGTAGCTGTGGCCTGGAAAACCCTTGAATCTGGAAATAGCAGGGTTGTGTCAGTTATTTAGTGGTGTTGTATATACTGACCAGCAATAAAAACGCAACTCACAATTCATGAAAATTATACTTTTTCAGCATGAGTTTGGATTTGATACTTTAACACAACTGTTTTGATTTCTTGAATTGCGTTTCTTTTGCTGGTCAGTATACATGTATGTTGAAGTGAGTGAGTGAGGTCAGTTTTACGCCGCACTCAGCAATATTCCAGCTATATGGAGGCGGTCTGTAAATAATCGAGTCTGGACCAGACAATCCAGTGATCAACAGCATGAGCATGGATCTACGCAATTGGGATACGATGACATGTGTGAACCAAGTCAGCGAGCCTTACCACCTGATCTTGCCTCTTACGACCAACATGGATTTTCACAGATGTTGTGTTGAAAGATGCAGTAATACCATCTTCGTGTATCCAGGGTGTTTATCATTACAATAAATACCCCGATCACCTCGCCACTTGAACAGAACAGGATTCTATTCTCATAAATCATACAAAACGATATAGAGAACATACATATATTTTAATTCAATACAAAGTGTCATTATGGCTTACATACATATAAATACATCATAAATGAATAATTAAAACAGGATAATATGATTTTCGTTAAACTGGGCAGTTTCTGTGCCAAAGGAGGATAGACGCCATAGCTTATTGTCTCCGAAGTAGCGGGAAAACCAAGACTACAAACATTTCACAGGATTGTACACTCTATAATTATTCAGTCCTACAGACCCGGAAGCTAATATATCCAAGAAAGCCCACGTAAGTCTAGAAAATGTGGCAAGTCTAGATTTCTACAGCGTCAGGAAATGAAGAAAGTCTCATGGCTCCTTTTCATTATATATTCTTTTATTTTATTGTGAACTTTTTGTCTGAAAAATATGTTCATTTCAGAGACCAGCTGTTAGTCAAACTCTGTAATCTATTTGGACATCTATACAATACAAATCAGGCTTAGAACGAAGCTCTCAAGTCGATGGGTCCAGAGCATGTATAATAGTGATGATTATTAATGATATATTATCACGATACAACACAACACACGATCGAAGAAAACCAACAATTGTATGTATACTCAACTATTTAATGGTCGCTGTGCCATATGGGACCGAAAACTAATTTCTATCAACAATGAAGCAATATTGACTGATGTGGTATTTATTGTCAGTTTGTCATTTTTTGTCAACAGTTATGACAAAAGAAAAGAACCGGCTGGTGAAAAGGTTCAGTGCGTAAATTCCAGCATCATGGTGACAAAAACGGCGTGACGAGCGAATGCATTCGTGACCCACTCGTGTTATTCCGGGACAAGCCGAATAGCGAGAATCTTCTCGGAGCATTCGTAACTTCTCGCTTATTTCCGTGACCTACAAGAAGTCTCGTACCCCAATCGTACGCCATTATTGCCAAGAATCGTGGCAAACCAATCAAATCGCGCGTAGTAAATCGCATTTCGAAGCATGAAAATGGCGGCACCGTTGAAACTTCGCTAAACTATGCAAAGCACAATTTAAACATAAACTGAGCTAAAGGATCAGAAACTTTAAACACTGAAACATATTTACAAAGGGAATGACTATTGCTGTTTTGCCCACGGGATATAAGATATTCTAGGAGCCATGTTTTGAAATTCAGAGTTATCATTCCTTGGTAATAGTTCGAGACTATTTTCATCTCCATGCCCGTTTGCGCTTAGGCAGGGCCTAGTCGTAAAGATGGCCACGACAGGGGTACGAGACGCCATCCGGAATGACGCGAGTAGTTAAGAATGTTCTTGGAGGTTACGGAAAGGGGCGAATGCTTTAACCACTAGGCTCAGTAGAGCAATCTCTGTAACTACAATTAATTGTGTTCCTTCATATATACACGACATGATCTATATCTGTGTTCCTTCATATATACATGACATGATCTGTATACGGGCTGAGTGATAATACCGTAACATTGATTTTATGAAATATTGACAGTTCCGAAAATCTCCGCTCTATTGACAAGGCCATTTATCGTGCGAAACACTGACGTTGGCTGCTAAATGACCGACAGCTGGCTTAGCCTTGTTTATCTGGGTCACCCGCGGCTGTCAACATAACTATAAGCGTGACTCTCCCATATTTACGTTGAGTATGGTTAAGATTTCTATAAATGATGGGGCCCGGCATGAGTACGCGTGACCTTACGTGTCCAGTCGTGTGTGGCATGACATTAACAAGGTTTTATATACGGAGCACCCTGGTTACAACGTCAACGCCAGAATTTGCCAGAACGGATTTCCACCTACTGAAATTCCCTGGACATAACACCAAGCTATCTAGAACGCCTAATTTTTTTTAGAATAATTGTTTCTTTACCCTCCCTGGTTGTAATGCCAAGATTTATGCCAATCGGTCGGCTTAGCAAAACAGCTGCATTGATCAGCTAAATATTTAATGTGTGTACATAGTTTAGTGAGGCTTTTTATCATTGGTTGATAATTTTTATTATTTTTTAATATTATCATTATTTGTTGTATATTTTAATTATTTCTTAAATTATTTTTTCAATTGATTTATTTATTTTAGTATTATCATTTAAAAAATTATTTATTTTTATTTTATTTTTTTATTTTTTTATTATTTTTTTAATTATTTTTATATTTTTGTTTTAAAAAATTGGGGGGGGGGGGGTTATCTGATTGGACTCAAAATATTTAGTGAAACTAGTAAAAGTACTAGTCTACTACTAAAAGGTAAAAGAGAGTGTCTAGCAATAGATGTGAACCAGGAGAGAGATATTAAACATGCAGCCGTCCATCCTCATTTCAGTCATCAGTTAGGTGCCCACTTGTCCACAGTATGGAATGTCCTATCAAAGGGGGAACGTTTAGTGACACCGTAAGCAATAAGGACAAGGTCACTGAAGAGCACAATAATCCTGTTAATACGAGGCTGAGACAAACATACCGACCTAGAAACACTACATCTGGTTCTCTGATGCTCGGTCACAAAATATTTACGATAACTGATGACAACCTTGACGAGAGTATCCAAGACGATGACATGCCTCTGGCAAGTCTAGTCAGCCGTGTCAAATCAGCCATCGATAAAGTTAACTGGATGACCGGGGAATACATGGTTCACACTGACCGCTCAACCAAGACGTGCAATGCTCTCTCTGATCGTGGTTTCTGTGAAAGAGTGTGATGAAGGTTCCCAAGATGTGACCGCCCTGAGTGACAGTGACCATGCCGGCCTGCCCGGGCCACCTTGATTCAGTGATTGTTTGTTTGTTTGTTGTTTGTTTGTTTGTTTGTTTAACGCTGCACTCAGAAATATCCGAGCTACATGGCGGTGGTCTTTAAATAATCGATCAGATAATCCAGTGATCAACAACATGAGCATCGATCTACGCAGTTGGGATACGATGAGATGTGTCAACCAAGTTAGCGAACCTGACCACCTGATCCCGTTAGTCGCCTCTGACGTCAAGTATAGGTTGCTGAAGACAAATCCGAACTCGGATCTTCACGGGTCCCCAATTCAGTGAGGCTAGAAAGCTCACGAATACTGTCATGAGACTTTCGAGTCTTTGTCAGGCGATGATCCCGGCAACAGGAACATATGTTCTGATTTAATGGACAAACTCCCATCTATCTCACTACGCAGCAAGCAATCTACGATGAGGGACGTTTTCAAACAAACTTCTTTGCAAACACCTAACTACTTTGGACATTGTTTATTATATTTTAGGGTACTAATGTTTGATCGACAGATTTGGCTTCTCTGCTTATAATGCCACCCTGGTTAATACACCATACGTCTTTCTGGACAAATGGTGACGTTATAGCCAGGGGAGACTGTATACAAATTGGAACTTCTTTGACTGCTCCCCTTTGTGCTTGCAATCGCAACTAGTGTACTTCAACCTACTTACTTATCATCATCCCATTGTACGTCAAACTCATCAATTTATAAACTCAACTCTAATCACAATCAATCACTCTGTACTTCAACCTCCTCTGCTCAAATCACTTATCAAATATCCAATGTACATCAACCTTGTTAATTGTATATACTCACTATGCAGCTATGTATATATTCTCCTTGCTTTAAATTGTTGTATCACTTGCTTGATAACGGTGTTAGTACCTACACCGAAACGTCGCACTCATTGCAATAAAGAAGTTGACTATCCATAGAACTTAGTTTTACTTCATCTTCACAACTTCTAAAATGCCTCTCAAAGAACTTCTTTGACTGCCTTTGATCACTATGCAACATTGTATATTAACTATAGAAATTTGAAAGAAACAATGTTTTATATGTTTTCTGATTAGAGCACTGGAATATTCAGTTTAAGGTATTGAAGTGAGAGACCCAAATCCTGTCGACCCATTGTAATTTTTAGTCCCTTACAACAACATAACTGACACAATTTTTTTACAGTATTGATGTGAAATCTCCAACTCTAGTCTACACATTTGTATATGTCCTTTGTGTGACATACAACTAACTACCCACTGGAAATACTCGAACAATGCTTTTATGGCTTTATTTAATTAATACGATAAGAAAAGCTGTGAAAATATCATTTATCAAAATAACACAGACCCACCCTTCATCTAGCCTTTCGTAACTGATACAATGATCAGCCTGAATTTAACAGGTAAGACGATGACAAACCTTGAAAATATGCGTGTGTAGTCATGCATATATGAAACGGTCCATCGCCTAAGATAACTACCTGACACCTGAGGTGATAACCTCACCCGTCCGTGCATTCTCACAGGTGTGCAAATGTCACTTGAGATGGAGGTGGTCTCATTATATTGCTGCTATTTTACTTTATTGAGGTAGGCGTTGACGTAGGTGGCGATTAAGATTTGCTTGGGAAAATTGAGGAATAGTTACAAGCTATGAAACGGGATGAGAATTGGGACGTTTGAGGTTTTGAATCAAGAACTATTTGGGTTTGGGTTTTTTTAAATTGATATCTTCAGAGGTATAAGAGCCTGTATTATCACTCTACCCGTGAAGGTCCGGGTTAGAATAGTGACCTTCAGTAACCCATGTTTGTCGTAAGAGGCGACTAACAGGATCGGGTGGTCAGGTTCGCTGACTTGGCTGACACATGTCATCAGTTCCCACTTGCGCAGATCGATGCTCATGCTGTTGATCACTGGATTGTCTGGTCCTGACTCGATTATTTACAGACCGCCGCCATATAGCTGGACTATTGCTGAGTGCGGTGTAAAACAATAAACAGAACACCGGGGTCGTATGACTTGAGTGAGAGTGAGTGAGTGAATTTACTTTTACGCCGCTCTAAGCAATATTCCAGCTATATGGCGGTGGTCTGTAAATAATCAAGTCTGGACCAGACAATCCAGTGTTCACAGCATGAGCATAGATCTCCGTAATTAGGATACGATGACATGTGTCAACCCAGTCAACGAGCCTTACCACCCGATCCCGTTAGTGGCCTCTTACGACAAGCATGGGTTACTGAAGATCAATTCTAACGCGGATTTTCACTGGTCACTTGAGTGTGACAGCGTGGAGGTCAGTTATACTTACAGTCATGTATCAGCGCCCAGTACAGCAGGCTGACCACGAACGCTGCTGTATTGGTCAGGTTGGACAATACCCACAAAACTTTGTTGTACCACGCGTTGACTCCTTCCTGTCCTGCGCAATAAATACATAGGAACTGTAAGATAAGATAGGGTAGAATCGGTCGTAAAATGGGTTGATAAATGTGATAGAGAAAAGAGGTGGGGCGAGATGAAATGGGTCTACATGAATATTGCATACACACTAACATCGTTTGATGCGTAGATCTTAAGGCTGTAAAAGCTTGGCCCATTTGAATTAAATTAAATTTTCATTCTTTATTCATATGGTTTTCGGTTGTGTCGAACATCGGATAGCTCGTAATATTTACTAGGTCCCTTCAAAGTCGACACAATGGTTTTCGACTGTATATCGACTCTATGGCACGTGTGTATGTGTGTGTGCGTGCGTGCGTGCGTGCGTGCGTACCGAGCGCTAAGAAGGTTGTTGTTCTTCCTGTTGTAAAAGCTTAGCCCCTTTGAATTTTATTCTCTATTCATACCGGTTTCGGTTGTGTCGAACATTAGATAACTCGTAGTATGTACTAGGTCCCTTCGAAGTCGACATAACTGTTTTCAACTGTATATGAATTTAAGGTACGCCTGTGTGTGTGAGTTTAGTTTTACGTCGCTTTTAGCAATATTCCAGCAATATCGCGGCGGGGGACACCAGAAAAGAGTTTCATACATTAAACATATGTGGGTTTCGGCCCACTAGGCCACCCCACCGTTTCTCAAGTTATATGAAACTCGTACAATACACAAAAAAATATGTATTTCATGAAATGGCAGTTAAGGTCATAGAAACTACAACAAGAATCTCTAGTTGGAATGGAAGTTTTTTATGTTGTGTTTTCAAGAAGGTGACAAATGTATTTAAATACACTTGATGCTGATGCACCACGTGGACACTTTTGGAATCTGTGACTCGAGATGAAAAATTGTTAGAGAGGAAAAAACCCTGAAATATAGGGTAATAATAGTTTGGGGAAGGAACATTTAAGATTGTCAGACAAACCAGGTTGTCTAAATACCTCGGAGTTCCTTCTTGCGTTCGATGTAGTAGTACACAGAGATGATGAAGTCCACGGTGTTGGTGATGACGAGGAGTATGTAGGCCCACGTGGTCAAGAAGATGAGAAACTTTGGCTCGTTCTCCACGCTGCTGGACAGAAACCGGGTCAGGTAGGCTCTCAGACCGAATATAGAGACGTGGTAGAGGAACCATATGGCTCTCCAGACCAGGTAGATCACACAGGGGCCCGTCTTCCACTGAAAGTAATCAGTGAGTGAGCGAGTGAGTGAGTGAATGCGTAAGTGTGTGAGCGGGTGGGTTGGTGAGTGAGTGAGTGAGTTTAGTTTTACGCCACACTCAGCAATATTCGAGCTATATGGCTGCGGTCTGTAAAAAGTCGAGTCTGGACCAGACAATCCGGTGATCAACAGCATGAGCATCGATCTGCGCAATTGGGAACCGATGACATGTGTCAACCAAGTCAGCGAGATCCCGTTAGTCGCCTCTTAGGAGTGAGTGAGTGAGTTTGATTGTTTTAATGCCGGACTCAGCAATATTCCAGCTATATGGCGGTGGTCTGTAAATAATCGAGTCTGCACCAGACAATCCAGTGATCAACAGCATGGGCATCGATTTACACAATTGGGATACGGTGACATGTTTCAACAAAGTCAGAAAGCCTGACCACCTGATCCCGTTAGTCGCCTCTTACAACAAGCATGGGTTGCTGAAGATCAATTCTAACCCGGATCTTCACGGGTCCGGTTGTAATGGAGGAAGTGTGACCTGGCAAGATAGGCCAGGAGCATTAGACACAAACAATAGGTAACATTGGAAAAAATAGTAGAAAGCTGAATTTTTCAGGAAAGCTTCAGAACATCATTGCCATGTACAAGATACAAAGTTCTGCAAATTCTACCTTGTGGCATTTTAAAAATGGCCGCCAATTTCAAGATGGCCGCCAAAATCATTAAAATGATTATGCAAACATACAGTTTGTAAATAATTATGCCATGTCATATATCAAATCAAAGCCCATCTCACAGGGATTCAAAATATATTGATATATATTTCAAAATGGCCGCCAATTTCAAAATGGCCACAATTGTCCTTAAAATAATCAAAATAATCTCACGAAAATATTTCTTTTAATTAACCATACCTTGTGATATATTAAAAGAAAGCCCTTCTCACAAGGAATCTAAATATATTACTTTTAACACCGCACAAACATAAGACAATTAGTTATGGCATGATAACCACACATTTTATGTTTGTGCTTTTGGTACCAGACATCAAATATATATCCCCTTACATTAACCGCAAGTAAGAAAGCAGAGAATAGGTTGATATCCTGAGAAGCATTTCCTTTGCTGATGAATAAAGAGAGGTCCAACGCTTGTATTACGCACTTCTTTCAGGCAACAAATTTTTGGATATTGAGGGTGAGCTTGTCAATTTCATATTTGACAATGCTGATATCAATGTTAGCACTACCATTGGCTTTGGTATGTGGCATGTTTTAGGTGGAATTGCATGTGTGAAGCCAGTCAGGAAAGAGCCCATTCAGATATCTATACCTCGCTCCACTCAAATCATGACATCAACTGACGTAGCAGCTGAGGGCACAAAGATCCCTGTCAAGGTATACCACAAACCTTCTACATCGGGCCTACAGTCTGTCAAGATTGGACCAATTGAACTACCCAAACCAAATGTGCCAGTTCTTCGGTTGACGAAACCTTTGGACAATCTATGGCTATCAAGTTTTTCACTTGATATTCCACTCTCACAACGTCCATCATGGAGCAGATTTATGCAGTCAACTGTAACTGGAGACAACAACGAAAGAAGCAAAATTCAGATTTTGCCATTTGTCAACCAGGACCCATGAAGGCCCAACACCATCTACTCTGCTCTAGCGTTTGTACAGTTGTTGGCAGAAAACCAACATCTTGGGAATTGTCCAGTAACATTTGACCAGCCCCTCTACATTAAAGCAGCAGAAATTGTGGAATCGGCACATCCACAGCTCAACAGGGTTGTCCTTTAATTAGGATGGTTTCATTTACATGAATACATGTCATATATGGGTTCAATTATATATGTGATGGGTGGAAGCGGCTTGGAAGATCTTTGGGCAACTGTTTATGCACCTAATTCTGTAATCCACATGCAGACAGGCCATGCTTATGCCCGTGCACTTCGAAGTCATCTGCTGTCATCTGCGGCTATCATGTCCATCCTACTGCAATCAACAGATGTTCTTGATTCTTTGAATGTGGAAAAGCTTTGTACCGTACATGGCAGTTTGTTAGGTGGCGAATGCGATATTGGCTCCCTTGACTCTCAAAACCAGGACAATAGCATACGGCTAGCTGAAACCGTTGATGATTTGAAGACTAACATCAAAGTCTCATAAAAAAGCAGGACAGGTACACTTTGGATAGACTATTAGGAACAAGTGTCATTGATTCAGCAGTTCATTCGCGCAGAGCGCACAGGAGACTGAAATCTACATCTGCGTCTGTCAGCAAGAGGATTCCCTTATTACATGTTGCTGGTCATCTTGCCAAATCTGCACGTCTGTATTTGGAAGAAATGAAAAACCTGAAGGACATTATGTCACCAGATCAGTTCAAGGCCTACACAGAACAAGGGCACTTCACCATCCGTAGAACTGCCAAATTCTGGAGAGGCAACTTCACTGACCAAGTGATCGAGCAAGATCTGATGCGACTGCTGAAGATCTGTGGTGGCATGGCTCGTGGTCGTGGTATAACTGACAGTATATCTCGACAAATGGGTCCATGCAATGCCTCAGTGCATACCAATATGTGATGCTTTAGAGAGGTTCACAGGAGTGCACGGCCAAACATCTGAGCAACATGTTGACTCATTTATGCATCATCATGAGAGACAACACGGACTATGGAACATTCTTTCATTGGCTGAAAAATCTTTCTCCTTTCTCCTATGAAGAGCATGAGTCGCTCATCTGCATAGGAAATCAGTTTCTATAGGAATGAAGGCAGCTTCAGCAATGACAGGTCAGATGTTTGCTGACATAAAGTTGAAGCGCAAAGATAAGGTGATAAGTATCAGTGAGGAAAAGAATCAAATCAAAATCAGAGGAGAGCCAGTCCAAGTAAACTCTGAGCTGCTATTCATGTGAGTCACCTGTGTGATAGAGGATAAGTCAGAGATGAAGTTGTACCTACTTCATGAATTTGCCAAGCAACCACCTGCCTTGTTTGATTAAAGATGATTCGAAAGAATGAAGAGAGTTCTGGCTAATCAACTGAAATCACAAGTCCAAGTCCACAATGACCATCCAAAGGGAGCGCATTATGTCATTGACGGTGGCCACCTGCTACAAAGTTTGCCTTGGCCCACGGATGCTAGATGCAGCCAGATATGTGACAGCCATGTGTCATTTGTGCTTCAACATTACGGTTCAGCATCTTCAGTGGTGTGTGATGGATACGGCAGTGCGTGTTCCACAAAATCTGCTCAGCCGAACATATCATGTCCAATCATTTTTTGAGCCAGACATGAAAGTAACAACTTCATCAAAACCTTTTCTGAGCAACAAGAAGAACAAAGGTCGCATTATTGAAGGGAAGACTTACCAGAGAAGATTTAGCTGTGCAACAGAGCCCTGCTGATGCTGACTGCTTGATTGCTTAAACTGCAATTAACAAGGCCAGAGACAACCAATCACCTGTTGTTGTTGTGGGGAACGACACGGACCTGTTGGTAATGTTGATTGCACAAGCCACAAATGACATGGATCTTTACAGAAAACCATGCCCAATATATGATAGCATCTGATGTTTGTTCATGCAATAACAGGCTGTGATACAGCATCAGCCATCTACAATCAGGGAAAAAGAAAGCTCTTGCTCTATTCCAGGAGGGGTCCAATTGGGATTGCTTGGATGTTTTCCTTCAATTTGGTAGTTCAAATGATGGCATTGCACACGTTGGAAAGATGTTCATGCTTAAACTCTATAGAGCTGTGGACTCAACATCACTGGACGAACAACATGTACTTCAAGTCCATTCATCGAGCCTCTGTGTCCTCTTCAGGTTTCAAACTGGAATCACTTCCCCAAACTTTAGCAGCCGCTAAATTCCACAGCTACCGTGTGTACCATACGGTTCAGCAGTGGCAAGGGAATGAGCTTTCACCAACAGAGTGGGGATGGCAATTCAAGGATGGGGTCCTTGTTCCTATTGAGACAGATAGAGCAATTGCTCCAGAGAAAGTCTTGAAGATGATATCTTGTGGATGCAAGTTTTGAGTGCAGGAGACCATGCAGTTGTCGAAGAGCAGGAATTGAGGGCACATTGCTTTGCACTAATTTACTAACTAAAAATGATGACATTGATAATTGTACAAGTGATTTGCCATACATTTGGTGACCACAGCTGTTTTGATTAACCAACCATGAGTAGCCATTTTGACGTCTGGTACCAAAACACAAGCATAAAATGTGTGGTTATCATGCCAAATTTTATTGTCTTGTGTATGTGCGGTGTTAAAAGTAATATATTTATATTCCTTGTGAGAAGGGCTTTCTTTTAATATATCACAAGGTATGGTTAATTAAAAAGAATATTTTCGTGAGATTATTTTGATTATTTTAAGGACAATGGTGGCCATTTTGAAATTGGCGGCTATTTTGAAATATATATCAATATATTTTGAATCCCTGTGAGATGGGCTTTGATTTGATATATGACATGGCATAATTATTTACAAACTGTATGTTTGCATAATCATTTTAATGATTTTGGCGGCCATTTTGAAATTGGCGGCCATTTTGAAAATGCCACAAGGCATGATATCAATATATTTTGAATCCCTGTGAGATGGGCTTTGATTTGATATATCACATGGCATAATTATTTACAAAATGTCTGTTTGCATACTTATTTTAATGATTTTGGCGGCCATCTTGAAATTGGCGGCCATTTTTAAAATGCCAAAAGGTAGAATTTGCAGAACTTTGTATCTTGTACATGGCAATGATGTTCTGAAGCTTTCCTGAAAAATTCAGCTTTCTACTATTTTTTTCCAATGTCATGTCTAATGTTCCTGGCCTAAAGAGGGTAGCCGCAAGGCAAGACCGGAGAGAGATTTCCGAGATCCTACTTCCCTCGTGATAGAGGAGGAGAGTTTTATAACACTTATATACCGTCACTTTACAAAGTTCAGTTATTTTGTCATCGCAACTCGTATTTCATTGTACGGCAATTAGTAGTATATCGAACAAGTGTCATATTCAGTCACGTGACCAAGTCGCAAGAAACTCGTCGCATGATTGCACGAGAACTGCGTGGCCTAGTAAAACAGTGCAGACACGTTTGTACAGTAAATACAAGCATCTGTGGTACGTTCAACCTCAAAACGTCTTGAGAATATTTCGCAACTGTGAAAATAAAGATGTGGAAAACTAGCGTCTTCTTGATTTACTCGTCTACTGTTCATTGCCAGAAACTCAGTAGGCCTAACAGGCCTAATTCATTGGGGGCGGTGAGGTGACCTAATAGTTAAAACATCCGCTCGTCACGACGAAGACCCGGGTTCGATTCGCCACATGGGCACACTGTGTAAAGCCCATTTCTGGTGTCCCCCTCAGTGATATTGCTGCAATATTGCTAAAAGTGGCGTAAAACTATACTCACTCACTTACTTTAAATATTGGCACACATTGGTATGACAGTAACACCCCTGGCACAGCAGCGTTTGGACCATTATGCCAAATATCCTATTTCCTTTGAATGTTATCATGGTTTTACGTAAAATCGATCGAAGATGAACGCCATCTGTTATTAATTCGTCCAAACTATCCCCAACAAAGAGCTGACTGTTTTCCAAATCATCTCCAATCATCCGACAACGGAAACCTTCACCAAACTGATGTCATGGGTCAATATCCATATTATAAAATCACTGAGTAAATATCTTTCATAAGTTCGCCGTGTAAGGAATGAGCAAATATAACATTAACTAAAGCTAAACTATAACTGTACTCAACATCCATTCTTATTTATAGGGCTGAAACGATGCATCGAACTATCGATGGATTGCAGTTGTTGAGTCTCCGATAGCAAATAATCGATGGTAGAAACAAAAAACTATCGATAGTTTAGTAACTGATGGTTATTTGTTTATATATTAACTATTAAAACTATTTGTTATTTTTTATTGTTTAGGTGCAGACTTGCAGCTTCATTATATATATTTTTGAACTGTTTACCTGATCTGGGTTTCAAGTTTCTTGTCAGTTATTAAAAGAGACTGAAACTACTAGTCTTTATTTCATATAAACTATACATTCATCTGGGAAATTACTTCAGATGAGACAATTCAAGGAGAAAAAAGACTATTGCAATAATATTGCAATAGTTGGTCGCAATAGACCATCGATAATGCAATAGTATGTTGCAATAGACTATCGCCATCACAATAGTTTTTTTCCCCCTCAACAGTCAGCCCTATTTATCTATTTTTGCAAAATGTGGATATTATGAATCTGCGGCCTAAATTACCGAATAATTCTGTCTGCTCGTAAATTCGATACCGGTGAGCAGACCACATCTATCCTAATGCATGTTTCTAAAATGTTGAAATTATAGAATTACGGTGTATGTGATATTTGAGCAGTTGTAAATATGTTGCTAAAGGAACTCACCTCTGACCTCGCGAACGCACCCGGGTACTCATAGCCCAGTAGAAAGTTCTTAGCTTGAAACTCGTCCTTGACCCTCTGACAACAGGAAGCCGTCATTGTGCTGGTTAGGAATGGAACCAAGCAGGTTCTGGCGGAGGTAGATCACGTCCGCTGGAATGTATAAATGTACATGTCAAGCAATGCATGACGAATGGGAAATACACAAGGAAAGGTGGGTTCTACCGTTATTTTAAGACAGGGGGTGGCCTAAAGGTTAACGCTTTCGCTCCATACAATGTGTACATGTAACGCCCATTTCTGGTGTCCCCAGATGTGATCACGCTGGAATCACTTTGTAAAACGACCTAATATGTACTCGTTCACTCACTATACCCGTGAAGATCCAAAACTGAATTGGTCTTCAGCAACCCATGCTTGTCGTAGGCGACTAACAGGACCGGGGGGCCAGTCTCGCTGACTTGGTTGCCACATGTCATTAAACCCCAATTGCGTAGATCGATGCTTATTTATTGCTCACTGGATTGTCTGGTCCAGACTCGATGATGTACAGACTGTCGCCACATAGCTGGAATATTTCTGAGTGCGGCGTTAAACAACAAAACAACCAACCAACACTCACTATAAAATTGTCCGTTTGGCTCAAAAGCGGACCGATGAATTGCAATCTAACTCGACACTGGTCTTCTCGAACACCTGGCTGTCCCTTTCTCTGCACTCCTCCCTCGTAACAAATAGTGAACTGTGTCAATATTTTAATGATAGTTTGTTAAACAACTTTATTATTTTTAGGACAAAAATTCTGCAAAAAACTCACAGAGTTGGTATGATGTTTTGATAATGATCAGCGTTTCATTGAGTATTTTATGTTTATTAGTTTTCGAGTTAGATTGCAATTCATCGGTTCAATTTTGAGCCAAACGGACTATATATACCACGGTAATCTGAGAGAATGAGTAAGGTGTTACGCGGCTCCTCTCCGCAACATTCCAGCAACATGAAGAAGGGACACCAGAACTGAACGTCACACATTGTACCCACGTGAGGGATAATTGGAATAATACTTACCTCGTAAATTTCAAATTTCAGTTAAAACTGAAACTCGGAGTGGCGAATCTAAATATCCCTTTAGAGATCAACCAGTTACACAGGTACAGTGACGGTCGCCACATCAATTACAACACCAGGTATATTGTAGTCTCATACTGGTCGAACATCAGGTGTGACCCAATTACGGGCTGAACTTTCTAACTCCACAATACTCTATTGTTGCCTAACACAAGATCACTAGTACATAGCCTACCCGAACCCCCCGTGTTTCAGTCCAGTGTGATGTGTGGAGGTGTTGCTATGGTGTATCACGCGACAGATACAGGACAATATAGTCAATCAATAATCGTGATGAGGCTATAACCTGCGCCCTTACCTACCCGTTGCCATGGGAGTAGTCGTTTGCCTTAGTAGGTCATGCCTCGCGTCAATAGATCAATCAATAGATTGACCGAATAGTCTGTTCAAGCAAGCATAGCATACCGTCGCAAAAACGTGCCAGTTTCACGTGTCATTTCAGCATGCAAGTATATTGATGACAATAAGGGTACTGCTGATGAGGATGAGGATGGTGATGATGATGACGTCGGAAGCCATGATGATGATAGTAATGATGATGATGATGATGTAATGACACAATGATGATGATAATGATGGCAATGATGATGACGGCAACCATGATGATGTTGATGTAATGACGATGATGATGGCAATAACGGTCAGGCAATGATGATGGCGATGAGGATGATGACGACGGCAACCATGATAATAAGTCGACGGCAATGATGATGATGATGATGATGATGATGATGGTGGTAGTAAAGATGATGATGATGATGATGATAATGATGATGATTTTTATGATGATGATGATAAGGGGGAGAAGGATGAGCATTTGTAGCATTTACAAGTAAAAAATCCACCCATTATGATGAATCACTCATGTTATTTTTGCCGTTTCAAATGGATCGCGGCTGGGCGTGAAGACGTCCATCCATTAGCCTCCTCCTAAATTGTTTTCTTGAAAGGTAACAGGTCATGTGACATCTTTATCATGAGATCCCGTAAATCTGACAGCCTGCCACGGTCCATTTAGTGGACAACGTGCGTCTCGACACTGTGTACTCGCCGTGAGGCTTCACCGGAGCGAGAACACCGGTGTGTAGCCAGTAGATGAAGGTGAACATAGGGCAGAGTAATTTGACCACGCCCGTCAAGTGTTAATGTGTACTGGTTCACAAGGGACGTAAAAACGGTTTCCCCGTATTCATTAAAACAATAAGAAAATATAAGAAAATATTTTGCTGGCTTGTCAATTGCGAAAGAAAACACTGGACAATGTGCAGGAAATACACCAATTACTCGGTTGTTACTTTCAATTAATAAAGGCTCCAAAGCCTATTACTATATATCCTTTGTTCTTCAAATAGGACACCAAGAGCACAGTTAAAGTGGCAAGAGGATTTTCAGTGTGGTCTTGACTGGAACTGTATTTTCCTAAAATCGTTTAAATCAACACAAGACAACAAATTGAGATGGTTCCAATACAGGGTAGAATTTTAACTACCGATACATTTCTTTAAAAAAGTTAAAATAAACGATTCTGACTTATGTTCATTCTGTAATGAAGAAACGGAATCTATTTGTCACTTGTTATGGGAATGTGAATTTGTGCAAACCTTTTGGTCAAAATTTTTATCATGGTTAACAGAAGGTTGTGACCACATCCATGATCTCAATCTCACTATGGAACTGATAATTTTTGGTTGTAAGAAAAATGTTTTTACTGACTCTTTTTGACTTGTTCATATTATTGGGAAAATATTACTTGTACAAATGCAAGCTCAATTCTGTTTTACCAAATATTGCTCAGTTCAGAAGTGAGATATAGTATTGAAAAATGTATTTTTTTTAACAAAAGCTGTAACGCCGAATTTTATTCGAAATGGCTCTTACATCATGGCTTATTCAAAGACGACTGAATTAATTATATTATTAATATGTTTGATAATTAAAAATAATCTTGTACTTGTGTGAATGGTGAGTGAATGAATTGTCTCGTTTCGTAAATGTTTCCACCTGTATCCCATTAAATTACTGTATATCTTCAGACTGAGCTGTCCCCTGGCTGCTTAGTTTTGACTGTAACGGGGATTCAGAAATAAAATTTAAATTACAAAAAAAACCAACATATATTAGGGATGACTTTTTTTTTCATTCTGCAAAAGGACCACACCAGTCTTTACTGTAGTCTGTATCCAGGTCCCTGAACCACATAACATTCCCCCATCCCTCCCCCTCCCTCCCTGCAATGCTAAAGCCCTAAATGAAGTAAATCTTGATTTCCTCACGTTCTGAATTTCCCATCTCTCACTGGGCCTAGTGGTTAAAGCGTTCGCCCGTCACGCTGAAGATCAGGGTTTGAGTCCACACATGGGTAGATGTGTCTCGAACCATTGTTATATCGACCAAGGGATTAGAGTTATCCAGAAAACTATTATCACAAAAGACTATCTTGCTTCAGTCCTTATCGTTTAGTGAGTGAGTGAGTTGGCTTTTACATCGCTATTAGCAATATTCCACCACGGCAGGGGACACCAGAAATGGGCTTCACACGATGTACCCTTGTGGGGAATCGAACCCGGGCCTTCGGTCTGACGAACGAACGTTTTAACCACTATACTACACCACGCCAAAGACCCGGGTTCGATTCCCAACATGGGTACATCGTGTGAAGCCCATCTTGGTGTCCCCCGCCGTGATGTTGCCAGAATATTGCTAAAAGTTTTACACATTGTACCTCTATCATGTGGGGAATCGAACCCGGGTCTTCGGCTTGACGAGTGAACGCTTTAACCACTAGGCTACCCCACCGCCCCTGTTCAGCAAGTGCATCATAATTAGATTACTTTAAAAAGTTCATAACACCATGCACATAAAGGAACGCATGGACCCGTTTAAAGTTCTTTTAGTTTCACGTCATGTTCAATGACTGCATTATACTCATGACCAATCTTTATTATGTTAAAACCGATAGCTATTCAGTGTAATGCAGTTTGGATTCACAAATAATCACTACTGCACTATTTCAGTGGTGAGTGTAGTGACGTTGATGTTAGTCTGCCATAAAAACCCTGAAGCAAATATATCCAATGCAGCCCTTGCAAGTCTTGAATATGTGGCAAGTCCAGATTACCATGGTTTCTGGAGAATGAAGAATGTGTTTGGCTCCTTTTGGGTATATTTTATAAACATAATATTTAAACCTTTTTTATGTTCATTTCAGAGACTACATGTTAGTCTAGGTTGATTTCAGCTCCATGTGTCAGTAATTACCCCACTGATCACCGACATGTATTACAGCTTACATTAGTATTAGCTTGTATGACAACGCATTCGCATTCGAAGACTTCGAGAACGATTCAAATTCCTGATTTCCTCCAATGTCCTCGTGGTTGGATCAAGCCAAGGCGTAGCAGATGAAAGGTAAACACAGACTTCCCACAGCAACTGGGTCCGACCACGATGACATTGGAGGGAATCAGGAATTTGAATCGTTCTCGAAGATCAGAAATACTTGGTAAATGAGGCAGCGACGAGTGGACTTACGGCGGCTGCGGCGGCGGCGGCCCCAGCGGGTGGGCTTGTAACGGCGGAGAGGACTCTTAAACAAACTCAGAACTTACACAATGTTCAAACACAGCTACACAACGGAACCTTATATCAGATGTCCTATACCCAGAGCTCATAGAAGTGCGATGTCTAAGTTTAGATGTGGTGTAGAGCCGCTGAGAGTGGAAACAGGACGGAACATATTCCCCTACATGAGAAACTCTGCTTCCACTGTAAAGACTGTAAAAGTACGAGATACATGTGCTTTTAATCTGCCCGCTTTACAACGAAGAACGGTAGGATCTCGTTAGACTAAGGCTTAGTCTCTGAATATATATAATTTTGATAGTAACAAACAAGCCCATTTATATTGAAAAGGAGCCCTAGGGAGACCAGAGATTCAGAACCTGGGGAAATCTAGACTTGCTTTATTTAGGGCTTTAGCACTGCAGAGAGGGCTTGGCAGTAGGGAAATTAATGTGGTTCAGGGACTGTGAGACAGACTAGGATCTCGTCAATGCTAGCAAGTAAAATAGCCAGACCTAGATTACCTGTCAACCAGACAGTTTTTTAGTAATATTTAAAAAAATATAATCTTTCACGCCTCCAGAACCTGCCATAAGATACTTTTTTAAACGGAGTATTTTATATACCTAAACTGTTATTCTTATCGGTACCCCTTTATTATGTGTATATTTTAAAGTCGTATCTCCTGTTTGTCTTTTTAGATACGTTTATTCATATTCTTATAAAGTTTGGGCGATTGGTAGTATTTTAGTACTTTTATGTCATATTCTTATAAAGTTTGGGCGATTGGTTGTGTATTTGTATAACTTTGTACATATTGTATTAACTGTAACATGAACACAAGTTAGACGATAATAAAACATTGATTGATGGACTTAAAGCAGGGACCCCCCAAGAGTGAAATCGTTAACAAAATGTCGATTCATCCGACAGGAAATAGCCTACTAGCTAGTGTCTCTCTGACAAAGCAGGCAGATTTTGGATGTGCGAGTGTATTTGTGGATGACACATCAATTTCATCACATCATTTCTGAACTGATGTTGGTTTTAGGAATGAGTGAGTGAGTGAGTTAAGTTTTACGCCGCACTCAGCAATATTCCAGCTATATGGCGGCGGTCTGTAAATAATCGAGTCTGGACCAGACAATGTGATCAACAGCATGAGCATCGATCTACGCAATTGGGAACCGATGACATGTGTCAACCAAGTCAGCGAGCCTGACCACCCGATCCCGTTAGTCGCCTTTTACGACAAGCATAGTCGCCTTTTGTGGCAAGCATGGGTTGCTGAAGACCTATTCTACCCCGGATCTTCACGGGTCTTTTAGGAATGAACTATGCGACATTTACAGTACCGAATAGAATTCAGTGTATTGTACACTTAAAATAAATCATTTGCATCACAGATTTGGTTGCAATAAAATAGATTACAGCTCATGCATGTTTGTTTATTTTCTGTCACTAAAGGCTTATCCGCTTGTAAAACGCCGGCTCATAAGATTATGTTGACCCAGACAGCAGGTCATGTGGATGAGTTCATTTTCATTTATCGCAGAGGGTACGGAGTAGTGGTGGCATACACGGGGAACGGCCAAAAGCCCCTCAGGACAAAAGCCCCTT